TGAAGGTTCTCAGACAATGTCACAGGTTACCCAGAGCACTCCTAGCCACCCCATCCCTCACTAACGGCCTTTGACCACAAAAGGCCTTTCAGCTCACAAGGCCACCAGCAATCACCTCTGACACCTCCTATTCTCAGCACAAGAAGGCACGCAGGACATCCAGAAAAAAAGAGAACGCTGAAAAATCTTTCAAGAGAAGATAGAAATGATGCACAAACAGGGATTAAAGCAAAAACAGAGAAACAGAAAAGTGTCACAAATATCCAAAAAGAGAATAACCAATGATGTCATCACATGAATACAATGACGTAATCACACCATAAAACATACCAAAACCAAAACCAAACAACCACTACTACAGCCCAACAAAAAGAAAAGGGACTTGCGCAGGAAGGGAAATCCAGCACAACACAACTGGAAAGAGACAGAGCCACAGAGGAAAAGCAGAAACCACAAAATACTCACCAGCAGCACAAGCGCCCCACATGTGGCTCCCCTGAGCTTTCCCACCTCCACAAACCACTATACCAAAACCCCGGCCGCCATAACCGGCACCAACCAAAACACAACCACAAAGCCTGGCCAAGGACTTCCCCACCCACAGCCACCCCGGAAAAGCCTCTTCCCCAGGAGCAACACAGACCCCAGCCCAAACTGGAAACCAGAACCGGCAAGCGGCTGCAAGAGGAAAGCGAGGAGAGGGGCAAGTCTTTGGGCTGATTCACCACATAAAGCTGCCACCCGGCACAACCTCCAGCACAGCGCCCACCCGCACCACCGCCGAGTTCATCAGCACGCTCCTGCCCAGCGCCCCGCAGGGATCCGTCCCACAGCCCCACCATGCCTGCGCCCGCAACCCCACAGCCCCGCCCTGGCGCGCGGCGCCCCGGCGCTCGTGCTCCTCCTGACGGCTCGCCACCGGCCTCGCCTGCCACCACCGGCCTGCCAGCGATGACACCTTCCCCTGGCGCAGCCTCCAGCTCCTCCAGGCCATGGCTCCCAGCCCCACACCGCCCTGCCACCACCAGCAGGCGCCCCTCTTCCCCAACACCCTCCTGCACATCAGCCACCCGCAGCAAGCCGCCGCCACCGCCCTCCGCATCCTCCAGCACCTCTTCCACACCCTCAGCAGCCCCAGCACCCCCCAGCACTGGCACAACGAGCCACGGCACCAGCTCCTCAACAGCCTCCAGCACCGCATCCAGCACCTCCAGCGCTGCCTGCCGGACAACGCCACGCTCTTCCCAGGACAAGGGCCCCGCAACACGCTGCTCACCATCAACAAATACTTCCGACACATCCAGGACTTCCTGCGCACCCACAACCACAGCGCCTGCGCCTGGGACCACGTCCGCCTCGAAGCTCGCCTCTGCTTCCAGCACCTGCACAACCTCACCCGCACCGGCCGCAATTAGCCCAGCCACCCCACGCTCCCGCACCGCCCCGACACCGGCACCACTGGGGCAGCGCCCGCGCACACCCACCTCGGGCCTCCGCGCGTCTCCTGCGCCCGCTGCTCCCCGACACAACTGCTCTATTTATTGGCACACGCTGCCACCTATTTATTCACCTATTTATTCACACCAAATAAAGACCTCTTGACAAAACGCCGTCACTGCCTCTGCAACCTGTTCCAGTGTTTCACCACTCTTACCGTAAATAACTATTTCTTTATATCCAATGTGAGCTTTGCCTGTTTAAGGTTAAAACCTTCTCCTCTGGTTATTGTTCCTGATGAAGAGTGCTTCTCCTGCATCCTCATAGGCCACCTTTACATACCGGAATGCTGCTGTGAGTTTTCCACGCAGCTTTTCTTCTCCAGGATGAACAGCCCAACTTTCTCGGCCTCTGTTCATATGGGAGGTCTTTCTGTTCCCCTGATCATCCTTATTGCCTTCTCTGGACTTGCCTCAACAGCTCTTCATCCTTCCAATATTGAGGACACCAGAACTACACACAGTGCTCCGAGTGTAGTTAAATCGTTTATTTAGGGGTGTATTTTTCTATGGAGGTCGGTGATTTCCCGGAACCTCTTTCTTGCTCTTTCGATAGACAGAGTAACCCTGGTCTACTCCAGTCATTGGGCACCTCTCCTGTTCCGCATACTCAGCCATACTCTTGACAAAATGCCGGCACTGCTTCTCTTCTCACAAGCGTACCAACCTCTCCTTCGGCCGTCGGGAGGCCACTTCTCCCCAGCACCTTCTCGAAGCCCTGCTCCAAACAGGGATCTGCACACCCCCATGCCCACACTTGCACCTGACACCTCTCCAATAAGGCACTTCACAACACCTCTTTGGAAAGCCTCTGACAGAGTTCAGCCATTCTCTGCACAAGCAATTCTCTGACATTTGCATCCTCAATGTCTTCCACCCAGCCCACTTCAGACCCAACAAGAAGCACCGCCTCTGGTCTACTCACTACACGCAAGGCAGAGACCTCTTGTGCTGCTCCCATGGCAGGAGCACGAACACCACCACAGGCTTGGAACACAGCTCTGAGCAGGAAAGGCCAAGAGTGTTGGGCGTGTGGACAAGGGAAGACTCCAGGGAGAAGTTCCAGTGGCCTTTAAGGGGCTTAACGAGAACCATGGGGACAGGCCTTCGAACAGGGCCAGGCCTTTGTATAGGGCCTGTCGCCATCGGATAAGGAGCAAGGCTTTCACACCAACAAGACCGACATTCAGGCGATCTACACTATTTACCATGACACTGCTAAAAATCTCCAAGTGGTTTCTCAGAGAAATGGGAGACGCCCCGTTCCCCGAAACATTCCAGCTCGGGCTCCTCATGGCCCAGAGACACCTCATCTGGTGAAAGGGGATCTGCTCAGTGCTTGGCAGCTGGAACACACAGAACTGGCAAAATCACTCCCAACCCAGCCCAAGCCATGCTGTGCCTCTAGGAAGCACAGGCATGGCACAGAGCCCTTGCATGAGGCCACCTTTGGCTACTCCGGCCTCTTCACCCACCTGCCACAACAACTCTCTGTCTGCGCTGCTTGACAGCCTCTCTGCTGCACCAACTCTTGTAGGGCAACACGCACAAGGGCCCAGCCATGCACATCCACCATGGCCCTGCCTCCTGCACTGATGGCACCTGGCAACGCCAGATCATCCTGCACCTTCCACCACCCCACATCATCCTGCATGTTCCAGAATCCCAACCACAGCAAGCAACAACACAACACTGCCAGACATCACTGTGGTTCCCAGCTCAACAATGCCCTGACACTACCACCAGCGCCACACATGCGTTTCCCTGCTCCAAAAGCTTGCAGAACTCACAATCACATAATCACTGAATCAGTAGCGTTGGAAGGGATCTCTGGAGATCATCCAGTACAACCTTCTGCCAAGGCATGGCCACCTAAAGCAGGTTACACAGGGATGCATCCAGGCGTGTTTGTAATGTCTCCAGAGAAAGAGACTCCAGTACCACCCTGGCTGGCCTGTTACAGTGGTCTACAACCTTCAGCATAAAGATTGTCTTCCTTCTCTTGTGGTGTAACAACTTTTTTTTTTGTTTATGACCCTTGCTCCTTGTCCTGTTGCTGGGCATCACTGAAAAGAGTGCAGCACCATCCTCCTGGCACCTGCTTTCCAGATATTGTAGAACTTAGTGTTATATCCAGCCACACTAACAACATGAATCCTACCATTTTCTCTAGTTCATCCTTACTCTTTCTCTTAATGGAGAGGTTAAGAATCTTTTCTCCTGCTGCTTTCCTGTCTTTATTTTAGATTATGCATTTCCATTAATTTATTTCTTTTCATTTGCTCTAGCTACAGATATAGAACACATCAATAATTTTCAGCTGCTGGCCTCTTGGAGCTTAAATTTCCATTAAGAGTCATGCTTAGCTCCAGCCCCTTGCATGACTCTGTGGTCCATCTATGTAGAGAAAAGCACTCCTGCCCAGAGAGCAACAGAAAATGAAGAAACATCTGGGGAATGCAGGCTGATGGAAGTGAACAGCAATCCTATAAAAGATCCTACCAATGCAACCATGTGTGTCGGGGTTGCAAGGCAAGGTTTTTCTAGCTTTGCTATTCTTTTCAGCTTACAGTTGTTCCAAGGATCATGCCTCATTGGCTATCTTCAGCAATGTGCATGGCTGTATTCTTTTAATTCAGGATGTGCAGGTGGGCAGGGTTTTTCTGCAACATCCCTGTACCCATCTTTGACTATGTAACTCTGATTGTCCCCAGACTCCACGTGAAAGACCCAGTACTGACCTGGACCTTTAATTATTGCATTCACCCAGTGATACTTCTTTTCCAGATCCTGACTTATTGCTCCATTTTTGCCTTCCCCCCGCCCCAATAAACTTCAGCATTTTATCTTGTGACTTCTCAGTTACATACTACCTGACTGTCTCTCCCCAAGATCCCTGTCCTACTTTCCTGAAAACAAAATTCTTTGCCTTTCTGCAACCTAGGCTGAGGATCATTTGTCAATCTGTCTGGGAGCTCAGTGTCTCTAACATGCCATTTACATTCTGGATCTGGTAAGAAAGAAAACTTCCTATACTCTCCCTCCTGCAGCTCACCTGCATTTATTGCCATGATATGCATACAAAGATCTCCACCTATGAGCACCTTCAACACCAGGAGCACCTACTGGCTATCAATTTGTGTACTTGGTGTTCAACCTTACCTGCTGGCAAAACTAAACATTCACACTCTGATTTAAACTAGATTTTAGAAGACCTCATACTGCTGCTACAACAATAGAAAATTTCACCACTCAAAAGGACAGACCATACTTGCTGTTTACAGAATTTCCAGATGACAAATGCATGATGCAACAGCTGCTCTGTATCAATTTGTACCACCCAGAGAAACTGTTTGTGAATATTTAATAAAACAGAACATAAAATAGAAAGATAAGGTCTTAACCACCACTAAACGAACAAGTTTGTGTTCAACAAACTGAACACAATTGATCAACACTGAAGATAACTTGTTTAAATGTAAATAAATTATGTCATTTACTTACCATTGGCAGCCTGGATTGAAGCATTTGAAGATCATCATAACCATAAATCTGCTTAAAGACAGATAAAAATACAACATCATTATAGCACTTTTCTCTGACCAGTTTGTGGCTTTAAACAGGAGCTTGACTTAGGCCCAGTCTATTTTAAAGGTGTACATCTATACATTGCGTTGTGCCACCACAGCATGCTGTAGCATTTTAAGGCTGGTACTTAAAATGGCTTGTCACTCTGATGTTTCTTGACGAGAGCAGTCCTCTGAGGAGAGCTTGACTGTCCTGCCTTCAACACTGTTTCTACAGATGCATCTTTCATCAACACGTAAAAAATCTACAGGGCATTCAGATTTGGGCGTAAGAGAATCAGCCTTCTTAGAAGTAATGATTGCAGCAGAGAATAGCAGGAATTGTTATTTTATGACTAGACCACAAAGAGACCTATGGTATCCCCTTGTATTCAGTGTGATACAGAAAGATGAAGTTTCCAATTCAAAATAACAGATAACAAAAAATGTATTGATCCTGGTCAAGCACCAAGCAGCTATGTGCAATCTTTCAAAGTATGGCAGACAGGACACATGGAACATTTCAACTCTTACTACAGAAAATCTATTCCGCTATCACAAACCTGAACAAGTGTAATTCTACTAAAACGGCCTAAAAACTGATAGCACTGAAAAGCACAACAACATGCACATTTAGCTTCAACAGCAGCCAATCAGGTCTGTACAAACACTTCTGCAGTTTACTATCAACAGTAACTACCCTCCCAGAATACAATTCATACATCCTTCAGCATTTGGAACAGCAATTCCAGGTGCAACATGTGCCAACATTAATGCCTTGGCATAGACAGCAGCAGGTCTGGAGGGCCCACTTGCACTAAGAGTTAAGCAGTCAAGGACAGAACAATTAAATTGCTTACTGGGTAGGCAGGCAGAAGTCCTCCAGGTCCCACAATATACTGGTTATGCAACAAGGGTGGTACACCTTGGGGCAGGTTTGGGGGAGCTTTGCCTGCAGAATCAAAATACAGATACTTTAACAAGCCTCTAGAGAAGATAAGGCTTCAGCATCGAGACAAAATCTCTCACAAGCCCTGGCGGCTGCACTGTGATAGCTTAGCAGACCTAAGTAGAATAATTTTGTGCTGGTTGATGAAAACACTCAAAATAGGCTGAAGGGTTTAACTGTGCCTCAAGGCAGGAAAAGTACAGGCGACTTAGAACTGAAAGCAGTCCCAGCACAGAACAGTCTCATTCTGTCATTTACTTTCTCCAAGGGGATTACAAGAATTACAGAAACTTCTTCCTTCCTCACTCCTTTCCTGAAAGCAAAATTCAGGCATTGTTCTCAATCTAAGAGAGCAAATTCTCCCGTTTTCTGCTCTGTCAACACATTCTCCCTTAACACCAGCAGCAGACTGGAAAGCACTACATGTTGCCAGACTACTTTCCATGGGTGACTTACTGCAACTGAGAATAGCAACAAGAGGAAGACTGAAACAGTTTATGTTGCCTCCATGAAGCAGGGCTAGGAAGCAGGCAATGAAAAAAAAAAAAAAGGCACTTTGGAAAGTCATCACCCTTCATCTACAAAGTATGGGAAATCCTTCCATAAGTAAGCTTGATCTTAATATCTGAATCATTCACTTCCCTCCACAGGATTTCCATTTAGCACTTAAGTTGCTTACAGAGAAACGAGAGAATTTATCATTGCTTCCACTTCAGTGCAAGAGGCCTCCCCACCTTTCTCTCTCTGTGGGCCCTTTTTCTGAAGTACTGTTTGCTGTGAAATGATCCAGACACCAGACACTTTTTCTTTCTGTACATGTGGCAGTAGGGATATGGCATATGATAATGAGGACACTGCAGTATATACCAATACTCGCAAATGAATTCAAGTCACAGAGAAGGCTGAAATTAAACCTAAGGTGAACTCACAGCCAAAAGCTGATCACAACCTGTAACACAAACTGTGTGAATCTCTTAGACCAAGATTTCCAAAGTCAGAACTGCATTGGTGTCTACTTATCAAACTCTTTGGGGATGGAATGTGCTATATAAATGCCACATAACACCCTAAGAAATATTTCAAATACACAGAACCAGACAACTTTATTTTATAAGCCAGCAAATTAAGCAAGCTGAAAATGCTAGTCGAGAGTGTGGATTTCTCAGCGTAGTTATGGCTGGTGAGATGCTCAACTGACAGCCCTGCCGACTGAAGTCCTCTGTCTATCCACGCGATCTGTTAATATTGCAAACCTGAAGACACTAAGGGAGCTGCTCGTGTGGTAGCAGTTGGTATGGACACACTGGAAACGCTCAGGCCAAGGCTGTTTGTAGTGTTCATACTGCTTGCCATGCTGACAACTGAAGAGGTGGTGCTAGTGGCTGAGGTTGAAACAGTTGAAAAGGTTGTTGAAGGCTGGAGCGAACTTGTGTTCTCAACACTAGTGTGCTAGAAAGGAGACAGAAAGAATGATAATCACAGAGCAAATAAACCACAGTGGAAGATGTTGGGGTGATGACCAACCATCAAAAAAACCCCAATAATCTTTAAAGTAGTAGCAGCACATGCAAAAGATAAGCATTATCTATATACCAAGGAAGCAACTAAGTTGCATGCTTGTGATTTTAAGTATTCAAATAAAATTATTAAATTCAAATCACTACGTCATCGCAAAATTATTCTATAGTAACTGAAACGCCACTCCATCACATCATTTCTTGCCCTTCGCCTGTACACTCCTTTAAGCTAGTACTTGTTATGAAAAATAAACTCCTATATTCTTTCAAAAGACTGTATTTGTTTCCAAATGCGCTTGTGGAATTTAGAAGATTAAAACTGCAGTACCCCACACAGAGTTAGCATGGTAAACAAGCTCAGAGCAGATGTACTGCACGAACAAATGAGGATAAGAGCTTCTCTTTTAAATCCAGCACCTCAAGAGTGCCTCAGCTGTAAGCTGATCACACTTGCAAAACAGTGTCATCAACACACAGAAGCCAAAATAACTCTTGACAACAGAAAAGATGGATGTCTGATTAAGTGTGAACCTTCAAGTTACGTACTCCATAGGGATGGAGCATTACAAACCAAAATAGAGGCATAAAGAAAAGTAATAACCTATCTGCAGACCCCAAATGGAATTGTACAGAAATACCCCATCACAGAACAAGGCCATGTTTCTGACCTTTGTTTGTGGATCCTCATCTATAGCACTGTGTTCACTACCATTTGAACAAATGCATTAAATAGACAGGTGATAACAATGCCACATGGTAAACTCACAATCATCTGTCATGAGACATTTGTCATGACATGTATCATGCAACCACCTGTATTTTGCCAGCTAACCTCTGGAGTGCAGATTGCTAGACATTAACAGTCCACGTTTTTGAAGCAGTTTCAGACAGCCACTTCTAAAGATTTATTTCCCCTCCTGAGTGTATTTGCTGCAAGAAATTCTTTCTTTATTCCATTCCCCCTTGCTGGCACGAAGTTTTCATCTGCAGCTGTGTCACTGGCAAGTCTGCAACAGCCATTCCTGACCTAATACAAATCACAAGTGGTAAAGACTTTTTTACCACTAGAGGGCTGGCAGTCCTTATTCCCTGAGATAAGGCTCTTGCTTTGGTTCAGAGGGTAGTGGGGCACAATGAACTTTAAGAGAGAGGGCCTTAATAATCAGATAAACTGACCATATGCCAAACATCTGTTGAAATCCAAATAGGTCTTACCACGTGTGATGCACCTGAAGACAACACTGAGGCAGGGGAGAGGCTGCTCTGATGATTGGAAAGGGAGCTATAAAAAAATTGCAAAGGATTGCCAAAATTATTTTTTCCAGAACTGTTTTTAATATATATATTTTATATATATGAACACATATGTAAACAGAGTAGGTAATAGGATATTAGTTAAAAGAACAAAACTTGTAGATGCATGTATACATAAACACACCATAGGATATTAGAGAAAATTGTGCATATATACACACCGCTACAGACATTTTTCCTTTAAATTAGTATCCTACTACTTAAAAAAAAAAGTTGAAGAACAGAGACAAATACTATAAACAAGAAACATCTGAAACATCAATAATCTGTATTTATCAATTCACTATATTTTTAGAAAAACAACAGTCGCTTCAGGAATTATGTAGCAACAACACCAAGACACTTAAAATCCAAACCCAGAAGATACACAGAAAAGGAAGTTTGTGTCTCATTCTTTTCCTAAGGATCTGCTGCTGCTTGCCACAGGGCACAGGTATTAATTAGGTGAGGCAGTGCTTTGTTTTATTATGTTTTTTCTCACATTTTAACCTGCCTAAGTTTAGTTCAACCACTCAAAGCTTTAGTACCACATTTTTCCCCCTATCTGAGCAAGCCTGTGAACTTCTGGCACCACCAACATTCATTTATAATCCCAAGGCCTTTAAGTGTCTCCCTGAAAGGTGACTGAAACTGGTTCTTAAACATTTACACTGATAAAACTTACACTTTACATTCGAGGTCAAGAACATAACTTAATGTACAGTATGGAATAAATATAATGAACTCTGAACAAAGGCAAACCAAAGCCATAAAAATACATATGATTTGGTGCTCAAGAAACTCCTCCTCATGTGGAATCAGAGGCATGAAAATCCTAATCATAACAAATACTTAAGTTTTCTCTATGGAAATAGCCACAAGAAAATACATCAGTTTTTGTAACAAAGCTGCGGGCTAAAGTATATTCCCTAACTTAAAGGTAAACACTTCCGGCTGCTTTTCAAGGTGTGGGACCAGAATAAATCTCAGCAGTTTCATAGATTAATGTTACTGCCATTCTCTAAGACTGCTCCCCATCTGCAAGAATTACAATGGCATCACTTCAGGCAGCAAGGAAAGAAATAGTTCATTCCAACATGCAGTTTTAAACTGCTCCTTCACCACTCTCCCCAGCTCTTCTAAAAAGCCTTAATCCAGTTTCTGATCTATGGTAGAGACACATACAGCAGCCACAAGCACAATCAAATCGACATGCTTAGAATTCAGGCATCATCTTTTCATGGCACTTGTTATCTCCCTAGAAGCATTACCCCTCCATTTAAAATTTCTATCAATGTTTACAGCTTTTCAACAAACGTGAGGACATGATGTTAATGTGAATGGAAAAATTCTTGTTATTTGACATATTTAGCATTTTATTAAATAGAAAACACTAGTGTATTGAATCAACAATGTCCTAGCTGTGAAACAGGAAAAAAACCCTTGCTACCCCACCAAATTAGTTTCCTACATTAACAAATACACTATGAAGGTGAGCATTAAAAATACAGCTCAACCAGTACAACCTCAGGATGTTACCTGCCTGAGGATGAAGCTCATGTAATAAGTACTGAGGTAAATCGGACAGATAGAGCAAATGAGATAGGCTGCACTGAATGCACTTCCAGAACACCAATCTGGTATTTCAAAGTGTCTTAAGGAAATGTCTTAGAAAAACAAACAAACTCACCCACAAACACACACACGTTCCCTGTGGAATTATTTCTGGGTTTTAAGAAATACAAATATAAATGAAATTACAATATTTCAAAATTAACCAGGAATGATATCAAACATATGACATTAAACAAACAGCAGGCACTGTGGACAAAGTAGGGAAAGCAAACTAGGGGAATCAATTTAGCTGGCATGATTGAAGCAGGAGCCCCTTGAAACACAAAGTTGTTTATATACCACAAAAACTTGAGGGCAGCAAGTGTTGCTCTATCATTAAAAAGCAGCCCAAAGCTGATGCTTTGAAACCAGAAACATCCTGGTCTCTCCTAGATCTCTCCTAGTTAACGTCAGAAAAGGGGACCCTGGTGTCTGACAGCCCCCTTACACAATCACCCTTATGTCTGTTCTTTCCCCAGAACGGAAACCCTTTCAGTTTATCACAACTCCTCCTGTACCTGCTTAACTGGGAAAGTGAGCAGCTGGCCAAATCACCAGACTGGGGCAAGCTGGGCAATGTCGCCACATGCTGCGATGATGAAGGCAAAAGCGAGGCAGTGGTGGATACCACACTAGGCAGAGAACCAGCAGAAGGTAATGAGGGAGGAGGCTCTGTCTTAGGTGCTGGAACTGATGAAGTAGCTGTAACAAATTAAAAAAAAAGGCATTAAAAGACAAATTCCAGCATACCTGACATCCCAGCCTGGATTCAGGAACACAACAGTATTCTCCTCTCGGTTTACAAAAACCTGACGCTTAAGTACCAGCATCAAGCAATCTGGCTATTAAAGAAAAATCAAACAGCAACAGAGCTATTGCTTTTTCCCTTTAAGCTGTTCGCCTACAACAGATTAATAATTTTCACTACTACACCTGTAGTAAACTACAGTCTTCTGCACTTCATCTCCCACTATCAGGATTACTAGCTTTCGCTCACAAGTCAATCCTCATTTTAAAATACCTTTGATTTGGTTCTGTAAATAAAAGTAATTTGAGCTTTTCAAATAATCTGCTTTTACCTACACCTCTGCTTCTTCCTTGCAACCTGCATAGCACCTTTGATGATCAAGACCCACATCCCTGTAGTACAAAGGCACTTATCCATTTGGAGTACTCAGACAAATGTGTAATGCAGTAGAATAAAACCAGCTACAATAAAAGGCCAAAATCGAACACAGCATTAAGGACTTTTAATGGCTCAAGAGTTGTCAAATACTGACTTACTTTATTTGACCTAGATATCAGAAAGTGTTTAGCTTCAATATTACATTTTTGACTACACAGAGTAAAATTTGTTTGCCACAGGTGTGCCTTTCCAAAGGATCACTGTACTGTAATAAGACACTGAACAACTTTATAGCACAACATTAACTCCCAGTTTCTACATTTGCAACTTGTCCTGCGAAAACAATGCAAAGTTCAAAGATTCAAAGGCACTCACCCATCAAAAAAACCCAGAAAGAGCTGAGCCCTGCCATCTGCAGGGCCATGCTTCCTCAGCACAACAGAGACCACTACCCAGTGAATCACCAACCAGCAGTACACATGAAGACAGTTTTAGAACGGTCACCAAAGAGAAGTCAAACATGCACTTGGAAGGTCCTCTACCCAGATTGTTCACGTTATTGTTCTGGCTAAATGATCCAGGTCAGGTTGCTGGACTTGGTCATTTAGCCAGAACAAACAGAAATCAAAAGGTCCTTGCTGTGGCTGTAAGCAGGAGAGTAACTGACAACAGAGAAGGAAACTGATTGATTTGGACGCATGAAATAAATACATGGAAGAAGGCCGATTTCAGTTTATGCGCATGAGATACAGAAAAAAAAAACAAAAACAAACAAAAAAACCTGACAGTTTTTTCAAAAGAAAATGGGCATAGAAAAAGGGACTAATAAAGCCATCACAGAATAACTAAAAAAAAAAAAAAAAAAAAAAAACAAAAAAAAAACCCAAACAAACAAAAAAAAACCCAAAAACCAAACAAACAAAACAAAACAAAACAAAAAGAAAAAAAAAAAACCCACCAAAACTAGGAATTATCAGATTTTTATTTTCCATAGCAAAATGACAAGTCCTGTAGTGAATTTTGTAAATTGCTTATTAATTCTGTACATTAGAGTAGGAAAGTTTTCCACTTGAAAAGTTGTCTCTATATATAACAATATTTTAAGTGGTAACTCTTCGGACATATACACTCTTCCCACTCATTTAAATTGAACTTGGCACTAACACTGTTTACAGGTCTGAATACTCAACTTCTTTCTACTCAGAAGTATAAAAAAATAAGGCTGCAACACTAATGACCTACCTGAAGAGATGCTTAAGAGGAGGACAAACCTGAAATTGAAGTGTTGGTATACTAAAAGATGTTTATTCAGACTGCTGCCCTTGAAAACTTCCATAGGGCAGCCCATATAGGTCAGAAAAGGAAATACTACACTTCAATTATTTTAACTTCAGGAAGAGAGCTGTAGGAGTGCTACAAGTAAAATACCACATTAGAAACAGACCAAAATGAAGCTAACGGTTATGCCTGTATCAGAGCCAGTACTGTCGTGGTGTTACTCCAGTGCAAGGCAGCAAACTACCTGTCAGAGGGAACGCGTTAGTCACCCTTACTCCCCATGGACACGTTACAGGGCGTAAGTAGCACTATACCCACTACACCGCACTCAAGGATTGTGACTGTTTCATTATAGCTAAACGCTACTTGCAACTTCCCAACTGAGAACTGGGGGAATTGCTAAGAAATTAAATATTAATTTTTCATCTTATATTAAATAATTTTGGCAGGTAAATTTAAAAGGACAAGCAGCAGCAAAGCAGCTTCTTTAATTCTAAGACTGCTTAGGTTTGTAGATTTATTAGGGCTGCTAACAATTCTTGACTGAAAGTCAAGAAGCAAGCACTGTACTATGTGCAAGCACAAAAGAAACTCAAATAGGTCAGCCAAGAATTAGTCAGGGAGAACAATAGAAAACCTTAAACCAGATGTCACTGCTACAGTTGTGTGCTCAGCAAGTAACAAGGAAAGATCAGAAAGTCCTTTGCGCAACCAAGCTTTGTAAACTTACTGTCAAGAGTCGCCTGTGTTCTAGCACCACTGTGCCCATTCTGTAAACAAAGAAGAAATCAATAAATCATCTTAGAAGCATACTAAATTTTCAGACTGAATCACACATCGAACATGCTTCATGCAAATTTCTATATTCATTCTAAATTGAAAGACAAAAAAAGGCAGAAAAAAATATATTTTATACTGCCTTCAACAAAACCACGTAATAATTGTCTGAAGTGCAAGGTGCCCTGAACACACAGAATCCCATACACTGCCCATACTACACCCATCAGCAGAAGACCTTCCCATGTACTGCATAGAACATAAACTTCAGGTTCACACCGATATGAAAGAAAGAATTGCATTAACATATAGGAAATGGTTGTGCTTTTGATCTAATGCAACTCACAATTTTAACTATCCAAGTTACACAGAGACGCCAATTTTTTTCCATTGAAAGATAAGACTTGAGAAGCACCAGTTGGTTTTTGGGTAACGCTGGAGTACAGAAGTGGATAGTCTATGCTTGATCCTCACCAGTACATACGAGCTAGTGCAGAAGACAAGTGTGACTGAGCCATTACATAACAAAGGCCAGAAGTAAATAAACTTACAAACTCTGACAAGTTCCTTAAACATTTAATAAATTCTCTTAAAACAAACCTATATTCCATATACAAAGATAGTAGGTGCTTTTGAATCCCCCAGGAGAGATCCTGTCACAGGTTAGACTTTCCCTATGCTTTTTGAAACAAAACATGAAACTAATTCCCACTGGTGTTTAAGTCCTACAGAGGAATAACACTGGAGGTGCCACAAATAGTTTGGGATTTTATATGGCTAGATGCCATATCAATCTAATAAATAATATACCTTTGAGTAAAAAGTGTCAATTCATGGAAAAATACCACGGCAAATATTTACATACAGAGATAGCTCTTTCTTTTTCTTTTTTCTTTTTTTAAAGTTTTTTTTTTTAAGTTTTTTAAAAGTTTTTTAAAAGTGTTGTTTTTTTTAAAAGAAAAAGCTAAGCTTGAGGGAACCAAACTCAAGTAGAATGTTAAGTGTTACCAAGAAAAAAAGGTCAAACAGTAATTTAAGATGTCAAAACCTATAAAATCAGGGGTTCTTCTATCCTAAACACAGTACCGCCAAAAATGGCTATACAACAGGAAAAGCAAAACCAAAGCCAAGTGGGCTTGGGAATGAAAAATACCACTTGGTTTGGCTGGAAGTATTAACACAGAGGGGTAACACAAGTCCGAGAGATAAGAATACCCTTTTCAGGGTCTTATTTCTGAAATTCACTCACCGTAACTGCAACCGGGGTTGATTCAGACGGAGCCATGGAGCTTTGGTACGTTATCCTACCATGCACAGAAGTCTGGTCATAGGAGGAAGTTGTTACTGGGGTAGTGCTCTGGGATGAGCAGGTGAGACTGGAAGAGGTGATGGCAGAGGCTGTGTAGGTGGACTCCTGTACTGTATTGGATATTGGCAAAGAGGTATTCAAAGGATCACTGGAAAAAGTAAAAATTATTTATCATCTTGGTAAATGACATCTCAAACACCTTCATGAAAATATCAGCTCCTGTACAGTTACCTACAACTACCATATACATGCAGTCAAATCTGTGCAACTTACACTAGAAAAATCTAATAATGAAAAAAAGTTTGGTTTCATCCCCACTAGTCACTGTTCCAAATCCATCAGCTGCACTTAGCACTATTCATCTTCCTTCTGCCAGCCTAACCAAAACAAGAGTTTACACACAAGCACTTTTCAGTAATGTTATTTCCACCTTCTAAAAGCATAAATCAATGACGATAATCTCTCTTTCTAAAATAAATATATCCATAAAGTCTGGTAGTCCCAGTCTCCTTTGTAATAGAATTCTAACATCTGAAAGAATGAACTATGCAAAGAGGAAACAATTCTCTAAAGCATGCAGGAGTATTTTACTTTCTAAACAGATTAAATAATTTATAAAACTAGATATTAATGTGAAAGTTCATTTTTACTAGTATTATTGAATTAACTTCATGAAGCTTTTTACGGAAGCTAATTTTTGAATTAATAAGGAAGAAACAAATGGGTTACTAGTACACTGACATTTATCATTGGCTATTTTAGCATTTCAGCAAGAGCTTCAACATACTGAAAGCCTGGCTTCTTTTCTCATTATCAATCTGTTAACATACACATATGGTAAAAGGGTCATGTCTCTTGGATCAAAAGCAGAAAGGGGTTGTAAGGAACAAATCCTCAAATAAATTTGAAAATCAAGACAATTAAAATTGAGAAAGTAATTCTATAAAGGGCAGCTTATTATAACATCATTTACATTCATGTCCTCTCCAGCTTCACACTGACCACATCTAGGGAGATTTTGATTTCTCATTCAAAAAGGAATTTCTCCTTTTAGGATGCCACCCATAGGAAACAGCCTTTCAAACCATCATATTGCCCTCTCCCATTACGTGTTAAGTGTGCCTTGATTATTTCTGGCACAAACCTGACTCCCTAAAGAAGACCTGTAAGAACGCAGGAGGGGAACTCACACATACTTTAAAGATTTCGAATACAAGCTATTGTTGGTTGCCTGGCTGTTATTCTCACTGCTTGAAGTTGATCCAAACTCTGGGAGCGCAGGCTCTGATCCAAACTCCAAAGCTCCAAACTGGACATTTAACCCTGTCACATCTGCTGATCCAGGCATCTCAACTGCAGAGGCAGGAATCTTAACAGAGGGGAAAAAAAAAATAAAAAAAAAAAAAAAATCCAACATAATTCCTTTGCATGAACTATCTATATTAGAGACACCAGTAACCAACACCCTCTCCTCCCATAACTACAGGCTTCTTCAGTACTGCCTCTGCCTTTGCTGCTAACCAGATCTGCGATGACACCCCAGTTTATATCACATAAACTAACTGAATTCTTATAACCTGAAATAAATTCACTGATTCTGTGCAATGATCTGGAGCCGTACTATTCTACAACATCAAAGTGCCATAGGCCTCCACCCCCCTTCAGCCAACATTCACCTTGTGGCTACTAAATTAACCCAGAATCACTCAGCAACGGTCATTTTCCACACAGAGCAATCAGATACGTACTTGGAAAAGATAACATTTTGGACCTAGAAACTACACAGCATGGAATTTTTTCACTTTATGAACAAAAATTATACCATCAGCTTTGCTCTTCTTCTCCTTTGCAACTTACATATAGAATAGAATCATGGAATTGTGGCTGGAAAAGACCTTTAAGATTATCGAGTCCAACCATTAACTAAACACTGCCAAGAACATCACTAAACCATGTCCCTAAGCACCAAATCTATACATATAATTATCTTCAGGGATGGTGACCACCACTTTCCTTGGAAGCCTGCTGCTGTGCTTGACAACCTTTTCGGTGAAGGAATTGTTCCTAATATCTAATCTAAACCTCTCCTGGCACATCCTGAGGCCATTACCTCTTGTCCTATCACTCATTACCTGGGAGACTGACTCCCACCTCACTACAACCTCCTGTCAGGCAGTTGTACAGACTGATAAGGTCCCCCATGAGCCTTCTCCAGACTAAACCCCCCAGGTCCCTCAGCTGTTCTCAATCACACTTGTGCTCCAGACACTTCACCAGCTCCATTGCCCTTCTCTAGGCTCACTTCAGCACCTCCATTTCTCTCCTGTAGTGAGGGACCTAGAACTAAACAACAGGATTCAAGATACAGCCTCACCAATGCCCAGTACAGGGGGATGATCACTACCCTGGCCCTGCTGCCATACTATTCCCAACAGAAGCTTTCAGCTTTCCTATGTTTTCACATTTACAAAGGGCAAGCCACAATGCAGTTACCTACCTTGGATGCTGGAGTCATCCTCCGTTTTGGTGGTTTTATCTGTTTCTGGTGGGTTTGATGGGTAGTTACTGCCTGGTTATCCATAGAGAGAGTAGGAAGCTGTAAGATTTTGCTAACAGCTGTAGAGGTGTTTACAGGAGATGGCCCTCGGAGTTTTATCTGGGAGGAGGAGGACTCCAGCCCAGGAGGCGGAACAGGAACTGCCTGTGTTTGTTGATGCTGTCGCTGGGTGAGCTGGCTCAGAACTGGAGATGGTTCAGGCTGGGATTTAAAGTCTGATCAGTTTTGGGAAAAAGAAATATCAAAATTAAAGCATTAAACTTTACTCTTTGTGCTTCAGCTCCACATGAACTAACATGGGTGACTTGACACACTCAACAGCTATTATTTTATAGCATGTGCAAGTCTCTCTCAAACATCATGAGTTTCACTTGTACACTACCACTGCAATAGTAAGACAAACATTTATATTTCTCTACTTTGAGCAAAAAGCTGTGGGCAAGCATTAAGCTTTCCTAAAAATAGGAAAATAAATGTATTTACACAGTCACAATATTATCACACATAAGCCCTCAAAAACTCTTATGGATTATTTTAATCAAAAGCTGCAAAGTTTCAATGTAGTGCCAATAATATGTGATTACTTCCAATCGGTCCAGAGCTGCAACTTAGAAGTATTATGAGTTAGGATTTCCTGCCCCTACAAAAAAGAAGGGTTTCAACACAAATAGGAGTCATCTACCATCTCAATCTGACTGAAAGCCGAGTTGCTGGACACTGACAGTTCTGCTCCAAGTCTTCCCCTTTCATATTTTACAGATGCTGAAAGCCGTGCAAGGGATCAGAGCACTGCTTAACAACCATAAGAGAGCCACAGTATTTGCAATGTATAGGGTTTTTTTATTCAGTTGGTAAAGTGCCTTAGAAAGCAACTTTCAATGTAAATAAACTTCCTTTTTTTTTTTTAATTGATTCATGCCAAAGATTAAACTGCTACCAAATTTGCTGCTTATCTACCTGGAAACATATACACATAACACATGAGATAGGTACAAGAGCTATCATTCTTCACAGTGAGGATGCTGCTAGGAACAACACTGCAAAAACCTAGTTTATGTCATTTTCCCTGTTTCTACTAATTTTACTCAAATGAAAAATCCATACAATTATGAACGGACAAAATGGGTAACCTGCATCATTCTCAGCACACTAAGGAAAGAACACAGATGCGATGCAAGTTATGAAGAATTTACACAGTATGAATTCAAAATTCATGTAATGGCTAGAAGAATAAAATGTGGGGAAGAAAAAGACAGAATATGGTACAACCTTCTACTCAGCCAGAAGCAGCACAGGCACATCAAAATAAGTATTTTCCACTACTTGCTGAGAAACAAAGCAACACCAAAGTTCCAGTTAAATATTCAAGCACATTATATCAAAGATGTCCTTACATAAAGGCTCAGCAACTTCTAAAGATGCAATAACATTTATGGATAGATGTAAGCCCACCAAAACTTTTTTCTGATACACTTGGAATGTTTATTACCAGCAAGAAAATGTAACTCTTTCGACTACATTATCAGGACAACTTTTTTTTTTTTAAAGCCTTTCATTAAGTCCACTTTAAACTGTTACTGGCATTAAGAAATCTTAAGGAGGGAAAGAAGGGAGAGGAGGTGAGAAAGAGAGAGCAGGAGCACTGTATCAAAGCACTTACCAAACTGATTAAGGACTGAGGACTGACTAATGGGCGGTTTTAAATCCCAGGATGATGTGGCAGTTGTGGTAGTGGCAGTAGAACTACTATTGTTCTGTTGAGAGGTAAACTGACCCAATCCCGGAGATTTCAACTGGTCTAAGATTTGCGACCCAGTAGAGTTTGCCAATTTAGAGGATCCAAGTTCTCCAAAGCCAGAACAAAGAACTGCAGACTGCCAAAAGACAAAAATGAAGAAGAGAAGGAGTGGAGTTTTAAGTTTTTAATAAATGATTTTAACATAACCATAGGGTCAATGCCTATATAGCTGCTGTTTGGCAGCAACTAAAACCTAGAACTAAAGGCCTCGAGCACTAACGAATGACAAATACAATACAACTTCCACTACCGTGATCGCAACAACACTGATTCCCTTGAATCCATACACGTAACAGGTGAACTGATTCTTGGAGAATAAATTTAAGTGCTCAGTTTCAAGCCCTCACAATTGACTCGGGAGATAGGCATGTTTACACAAAAGGCAGTCAGATATGTGCTTGGAAATAGTACATAGTTTTCTGGCTTAGAACCGTTCACCATAAACAAATTACTTCATTCTAAATCAGCATCTAAACACATGTGCTCTCCTCAAAAATTAATACAACTGCTTCATGTAAGCTGAGAAAGAACCACTTAGCAAAACCAGAAATAAAAGTAAACTTTGTGTGTGTGAGTTGAAGGAATGAAATTCCTAATTCCATAAGAAAGCATCAGATAATTTTACCAGACTTTGAGGAGAGTAAGAGTTTACAGCACTGGAGCTGCCAGTTCCTGATGCCATCTGGGTGCTGTGCTGAGAATTCGTGAAGACCAGGGCTTGGCCAAAGGTCTGCTGCTGTGGAGCCTCAAATGAGTTCCCTTCCATATCTTGGGTAGAAGAGGTCACAGGCTTTTGAAGCAGTGTTATCAAATCGATGCTGTAAGAAAAAGAAAGGTTTGGCTGGAATAAACTTGATGACTATCCTGTGCTGAAATGGAAGAAAACACTAACAATACTAAAGCTACAATACTTTAGCAACAGAATTATTACTGATTAACAGCCTTTCCAAATACTGCTTTCCTGTCATGCAAAAAGAGGTATAAGGCAGAATAATTTACCAGAAAGTGATATTCTGATAGCTGAAATCCTCCAGTAAAGTTAGAATATAATTTATCTTTGTATTCTTTTGAAACATTATTGATTTTATAACACCATGTATCACACAACCTATATGATCAATATAACCAAGTAACTGGAGACAAGTCATGAAAGACACATTCTGATCAAGTGGATCCTGCCTGCAAGCCCAACTTTAAGAAGAGGAAGGGATTAAAGTCCCACCTATGTACAAGGTGGGTATGAAGACATTAAAGAATAATGTCACACATGCAGTGACTGAGTGAATATGTGATGACATGGAAGTCACAAGGGAAGCAGAAATATAAGTTTCTCAGCGAGTGGGCACATTTCCAAAATTACCCTACCACACACATACCTGAGCAGGATAGAAACATGAATTTTTTTTATATTTAGCTTTGCTTACTAACCCCTACTACATGTTTATCACAGGTTTATCCCAGGAAAAGCAAAGCATTCATGCAATAATAAAACCTTTATTTAACCTAATAATAAACCTTTCTTATGTCAAGTAAAAAAAAACCACAAACAAATCAAAACAAAAATCCTTAAGCAAGCAAAAACCACACAAACAAACAAAATACACCAGAATCTGAGTTGATGAACTAAAACATCTTCTAACATAATTTGAGGGCTATCCACTGAAAGAGTATTTGCACACATAACCTTGAACACATCACCTTTCAAAAGAAAGGATTATAAACTGTAGACCAACTGACACCCTGCTGCCTCCAGATCACATCCCATGTATATAAGGAAACTTTTGCTGCAGTTTGGAGTACAGCGATACAGCTGCATCAGGATGTTTGGGATCATCAGCCCATCTAGTTTTTAGATCTTAAGCTATTCAGCTACTGAAATCTGTATCACACAGCTTTAATCCTCTCTCCCGGGACTTGAGGCTAAAGCAGGCAACTGATTCCACCATCATCAGCTCAGCATTTGGTGAAGACAAAGGCAAGCAAAGACAGTAACTGCCATATTTTTGGTTCCCTATCTGAGCTCTGTACCATCAGTTAAAGCAGGTAATTGTGATGCTTATCAGGAAATTAATCTTTTTGCCAACAAAAGCTTTCCTATTAACACGTTAGTTAAAGCACTATGTTCTAAACACCTTTTTCATCTACAGGGGCAGGCTTTCCACTTTCTGGACAGCAAAGGCAGTGCTTTCTTTTCAACTGAAAGCAGAAAACTTTTTCTTCACATCTACTTCTGTTCCTGCCTGTAAGCAGTCTTTGTGCAGAAGACAGGGCCTTCTCAATATTATGCTTATGGATTTGCTAAGTTTGGCTCCAATTCCATATTCAATAACACAGGAAACCACAAACCCAACCATTTCACAATTTCAAAATTAGTTTGACCAATCTCTGGCCAGGGCTGCCCTGTGTTTTCTTCAACATTTTATACGTGCAAGCTAACAATCGTTCACCAAGCATGTAGCTTTTAACGTATAGGGAAAACATGGAAAAGGAGCTTACCTCTGCCCAGGAGTCATGTGATTCTCAACTGGAACAGAAGAAGCAGTGAATACTTTCGTTTCAGAAAGCTGAAAAAGACAGAGGGGAGGAGGAAAGGTATTTTAATCACATACATTCTCATGCCTCACTTCTGTGACATCTGCAGAAATTCCATCTTGGTCATGCACTTTCACGATAAAAGTAAAGTCAAATTATCATTACAACCAGTTATGCTGCAGCTCTGCTTAAAAAAACAAAAACATGTAGCCAAACTTCAGCAAAGCCCTCTCCACAGAAGCAAGTACCAATTTAACTGAAGTGCTAGGAAATTTGGTCTACTGAACACATAACAAGGGCGTACCAATGCACCGACACCAGTCTGAGCAACTAACTGAAAAATACACCAGCAGAAAGTAATTAACATGACAGCTGGTGTATCACCACTGTAAAGATAACTTTGTGCAGGTACTTGTGCAGGTGTAATTTAGGACTCTATAGAACAGCTGTGATAAATGTCATTGCAGAAGGCTAGCATACTGCACAGCTCTCATTTCTTTTATGTATTTCCACGTTTTACATTTCAGCTGCCATCACCAGCGGAGGCAGATTTGCCCACAGTTATGTACAGTGAAACAGCATTCATGGTTCCTTCTTGGCATTTCTGCTAGGGGTGGCAGTAACATTATAAACTCATGTCTGCTTTGCAGTCACGAGTTCAAAGCCAGCAATTGCTTATACTGATAGAATCAATCAGCCCATACAGCAGAAAACTACTGCTTTCACTAGGTACTTGCACCGGTAGCTGGGGAAGGGAAGCTGGTTGGTTGGAGTTTTGGGGGAGAAAGGGATGATGTTAAGTTTGTAAGGTGTTCATTTGCTGCTGTTTATTTTAACACCTTTATCTACTATTTTTTAAAAAAAGGAAACAGCTACAACTTCATAAGGCTAATTAATTTCTATTGACAGGAATACTTGCAAACCAGAACAGGTCTTAAATGAGCGCAGGTTAGGTTTAACCAGATGATGATATGCACACATAATGGTTACATTTTAAATTAAATTTGCACAAAATCACCCTTAACTACTTCAGTGTAGCTTTGTATTTACGCTGAAGACTGACCTATTCAAACTCTCATGAAGAATCCCTTTAGAATGTGGCATTTGAATACAGGTCTTCACGGAAGTAATTAACTTTTAATCACATACATTGCTAGCATCCCTGTTTAAAGGACATTAGACATGTCAGTTTCACCTACCATCCCATGGGCAGCTCTACTGAAAGCACCTATATCCCTGAACACAGCCATCTGATTGGGATTCTCCTGAGGAACACTGTTGACTTAAGCAGGATGCAGAACGGCAGAGTAGGAACAAAGTTCAAATGTTTCATGTACTCTACGAGCACCCACTTATGTGCAATACACTGTGTCGTGAAAAAATGAGGACCACCACAGTTCCTTCCTTCATTTTCTTCCCTTCCTCTGCCTCCCGTGCAACATACTTTAATCCCATCTTTCTGGAACACAACTCTGTACTGTGTATAATGCCACCAGTCCACAACTCTATGTACTGATGAAAACAAAGAAACAATATTCAGCTCAACCATATTTCCAATTAAAAAGGCTTTCTCTATTGTTCAGCCCTCACCCCACTGTACATGTTGTTTTAAAACATGTACTGTACTTTTTGTAGTGCTATGAGACTCCTGCATTGTATGGCACAGGAAGGTCAGCTAATGGCATGAGCAGCAGCCCATGGTCTGCAATCCGCTGGTTAAATATTAAATTCATTGCAATGCCAACAGTTTCTTACTCTCACATAACGCAGGATAAGACTAACTGTGGCCAAAACGCATGAATCCTGAAAACTAAGAAAATCGAGGAGCCCAAGGGTGTCTGTGACAACACAAAAGCATGCTTGATGTGTCAGAGAGGAAATGCTCTTTTTAAGTGAACCAGCATGCAAAACACCCATCTCTGGCTATGCTGAAGTTCACACTATATCCTGTGGCAAGCTTACAGCCACAAGCTCTAATCAAGCACCTAATGCAGAATTCTGATGGGACTACAGCATTTGTCAAAACGCTGTGGTATGTGCAGCAGCAACCAGAAAGCTTTATCATGGAGATATATTTAGTATTTCTTAATAGCATTATCAGCTCCTAACAAAGCTATTTACACTCACTGTACACTACATTTGCAAGTCTTTTACTGAGGCTCTGGCTTGTACCAGAATTGCATGAATAGTTGTGAACTATTTGCAAACATCAGCTTCACAAGAGGTTCATATTCCCTTCATGAAGTCGGTGCTTTTCAGCTCTTTACCTCATAATAAAGATCCAGTTACCAAACAGACAATATATTTAACAACTAGTCACCAGCTCCCAAGGCCAGTTGATAGGTGAGAACAGGAAACTATACTCTAGCAGCCTCATAAAAACATCAGCAAATCAGAAATAACAAAACCTGATTACTGCTTTGATAAGACATACTGAAGTTAAAGAAAAATAAAACAAGCTCTCACATTGCTTCCTAGAAAACGAAATACACCCAGTAAAATAAATGGGGGGGTTGGGTTTGGGTAGCTTGGGGTTTTTTTGTTGGTTTTTTTTTTTTTTTTTAATTTTTACTTTAAGTGTTGCTGTTGTTTCAAATAAAACAACACTATCAGCATTGTACAGAAAATGTTTGCCTTCATCCACTTTCCAGCAACGTGTATGTACTCTATTTCTCCCCTTCTGATAGCTTCTGTAGTTAAACTTTATTCTCTTTAGCCAGGAGAACATGACCACAGTTTCTGCAGGAAAACCCAAAGCCACCCACACTACCTCGACATTTCTTTGATCCTTTATTGTCCATGCCCTGAATATTCCTTTAAAAAATACAACCCCCTATTTTCACTACAGCTAGCCTCCACTCTAAGAGCATGCTGACAACTTACAATACTTGCTCAATTACTCACTGGTAAATACAGGACTATTAGATCACAAAAATCTAATCCTGCCCAGGTCGCTAAATTTCACTCATCCACTCCCAACTTGCATCTGACTAGAAAACAACACATTTAATCAAAATTATTTCTCAGAAAAACAGCTGGTCTTTATCAGCAAAACACATCAGCAAATACATCAGCATCCTTGGTTGTTTTCACCATTAGTCATGCTGCTAGAATTGTTTGTTACACATTTAAATGCAACAGCTCCATGTTCCAGCCACAGGTTCATATTATGTCTTTGTCTGCTAGACTAAAACCACAGCCCATTATATGCCAATAAAACAACCTTTTCAGATTCAGTAAACTAAAAATCTCATCCTCAAGTACCCCTTCAATAAGCAAATAATATTCAGCTGTTTCCACAATTTTTGTTTTGTAAAGCAATGTGTAACTGGATGCAGTACTTCAGAATCACATCCAGGAGAGTGCACACACAGAAACATAAACCAAGAATGATTACGAGACAGCAAGGGTGCCTACAGGCAAAAAAACCCACCACACTACAATAGCACTTTTCTGCCACACTATCAGCCCTTCAGGAGATCATGCTGAGCTGTGCCTTTTTCATCATTCACTACAACTCTGAAACTTTTTCTGTTGCTGCTTTTCAGAGAGCAGCCCCTTGTCCTGGAGGTGTGCCTTTATTCCTATGAAACAAACGGGCACTTGGCTATATTAAACCATTTTTCATTTGATGAGGTCAAGTTCCAGATCTCTCTGCATGACTGGCTTACTTATGACTGCCATTCCAATAATTTCTGGATTTGCCACACATTTAATTCAGCAGTGATTTTACTTTTATTTCCAAATCATTGATAAAGACGCTAGGAAGGCATCTGGCCTGGGACTGGATTCCTTTACATATCTCCTAGAAACACCCGCGTTCGATACTGGTCCTCTTGCAAAAGATTTGCCAAAATTTGCAGGGTGGATTTAAATCCACTTATTCTGCTTTGTGATAGCATGTAATTATTTTTAGAAGAAAAGATGTAGACCAATTCTCTTACAAAGATATACTCCGTCTTCACAATTGTAATTTACTTAAAGACCATCATCAGGTTTATTTGAAGGGGAGTTATTTTCCATAAAGCTACACTGAATGGCAGAAGCTGTATTATTACAGATTCTGGGGTTTTTTTGCTTGTTTGTTTGGGCTGTATGAATCAAATTTTCCTTTATTTTTTCCCCAGGCATGCTTTAGGCTAATGTTTCTGCAGGTAGCCATTTCATTCACTTTCTGAACATGAACAACTTTCTCCGAGGCTACAGGGATTTTTCCAGGACTCTCAAATTAATAAAAAAATAACAGTCCAGAGGTTTCATCTGCTGCTCTTTCAAGATTCATGTGCAAATTTCTTGGACTTAACAATTAATTAAAAAAAAAAATTCTTCTGCTGGTCAGCATTGCTCAAAACCCCACCTGTGCTACAAATACTGCATTGTACCGGTACCAAACAGTTGAAAAGGCCAGAAATTTTCACTATCCCTTAGCCATCACACTACTTCTACCATATACTGTAGAAATAGAGGCAGGCTTAAAAACAGACGTCAGCTTTTGATGGCAGTAACCAATACAGAAAAACTAGGAATTCTGGAGTTTCTTTCAACTTTCTCAAAAAAACACAGCCCTTTCATTAGATAAGGATAGAATTTTCATATCTGTTATATGACACATTCACATATTTCTAGCTGTAATACTGATATGCTTCATCACCCTCTATAGCTATCGGCAGAGAAGGAGTTTGGAGTCCATCACTTTTCCCAAGTAACAAGCAATAGGTCAAGAGGAAACGGCCTCAAGCTGTGCCAGGGGAGGTTTAGACTGGATGCTAGGAAAAATTTCTTCACAGGGAGGGTTGTCAAGCATTGAAAAGACTGCCCAGGGAAGCGGCAGAGTCATCATCCCTGGAGGTAAAGATCTGCAGATGTGTCATTTGGGAACATGGTTTAGTGGATTTGGCAGGTCTGGGTTAATAGCTGAACTCAATTTATAGGTCTTTTCCAGCCTAAACAATTCTACGATTCCATGATTCTATGCTGCCCTACAGGAGGAGGCAAAAGGGATGCTTTTCGGTATAAACTTACTCTTCTGAAAATAAACTTGAAATAATGGATATTCCTATAAAATATGAAAAACTTCTTAAAAGCTAAGTTTTCCTTTCCATATTTCTTATTACCTCATTTGTTTTCTGAACTGCTTAAGCTTTAATACAATAACTGAAATTTTAAAATCACAAATGCAATTTTCACATGTGATGATTACAAATGGCAACTGTTTAGAAGAAATTAAGACATATCTTACCTGATAAAGAATGAGCACAGAAATTCTTGTAGTACTTTAAACAACACATCATAATGAAACAACAGGAATGAAGCAATTAACTGCTAACTTCAGTATACTGCTAGATCCTTTTTTTAATATTATGAACATGAAGTTGGACTAAGAGAAGTATTTAAGCAGATTTCAAACAAAAAGCATCAAATGAGGAGTCTAAAGTTGACAGGAAGCCTCAGCACTTAATTACTTAAAAGTTCTGTGATAATATGGCTTTAAATCCTTACACGATAGTAGGGGGAAACATGTGGTTTACCCCCATCAGCACTGAGCAGTGGAGAACTCTTAATTCACAACTACTTAATTTGGGATAAAAGTTAAAATTTTATTACCTATGTACTGCACACCCATTAAAAAAAACCTACTCCTTGATTCAATTTTGTTTAGAAAACAATCTTGTCTAACTATATGTATGGCTAAGTTCTCTACTTGAATTAATTCATCCTAAGATAACTGCAGAAATCTAACTTGGATAAACCTGTGTCAGGTTATACTCACAATTAATGCTGAACAATTGGAAATATAAAATTCAGTCAGCAGAATAAGATAACCAAAGTGTACTGTGGAGTGCATGGTCATACATACTCATTTGTGAAATACATAGGTTGCATTTAGGAAAGAAAGAACCATGGCAGAGGGGTTGGAACTAGATGATCTTAAGGTTCTTGCCAACCCAAAGCATTCTGTGATTCTATGAGTCTATGTATTTTAAACAGCAATTACAGCAAGAAACACAGTAAGAAATATCTTAATTCCTGTAATAGTTGCATACAGCTAAGTACTACTTTGAACACTTTGTTTCTGAAGATAACACAGAAACTCTAAGGGTAAATAATCAACTGGTCTATCCAACATGGTAAACTTACATCTTCATTCCAATCTTCTGCTGTCCACTCTTCTATTGAGTTTTTCCATGCTCCTATTGTAATATGGGGAAGGAAAGAAAAGAGTTACAAGCTAAAGGCACTACATGGTATTTCAACCATTCTGATTTATAAGTTGCCCTGTTTTCATTAGTAGTGGAACACAAAGCAAGGAAATGGTGGTTGGAAACATGGGAAGCTCTAGAAAACTGGTCTGCAGATTTAAAATTCTAGGAGGGTTTTTTCTTTCCCCCTGCAATTTCTGATTTCAGGAATTTCTCAGTCACTATGGTATCAGACATCATTTGCACAAACATATGCCTGCAAGCAGTGATTAATCCCAAATATTGTAAGAACTTCCTCCTATGTCCCTCCTATGTCCCCAGTGAGAGAGAGGGGAGGGACTCAGCCCTCCCACTGGATCTCACAATTCCATGCACAAATTCATACAGAGCCTGAACAAAACAGAACCACAACACCTGCTCCCACATCCATAATCCTGCTTTCAACACATTCAAATTCCAGACCTGCTTTCAACACATTCAAATTGCAGAGCCTCTGGAGGCTCCTTCCCAACCTGTTAACTCTCTCCTTAGAGCAGAACAACTCCAATCCCTTCACATGATACAGGCAATTTATTTTAAATCATATATAGTTTGTATAATGGCAGCAGAAGAGCCAATAATCTTGCACTGTAGCTGCAAAACACCTCTCCCCATAACTTGTTTCAGTGTTTATTTGGTGAACACTGGAGTACACTGTGCACTGTACAACATGTGGCAATGGGAAAACTATGGGAAATGATCCTACAGATGCAAGAAACCTGATCCCTTCCACAGGAAACAGCAGACACAGACATGCAAAAGCAACAGACTGAAGTCCTTGACCACCACCATCAGCACAGAGGTTATCCCAGCCAACAACCAGAGCCTTCATTTAATCTACATAACCATGAGTGAAGAAAACACCAGCAGTGCAGGTTCTGATCCCATCACCTTTGATCAAGTGCAAATGCAAAAGAATTACTGTTTTAGTTATCTCTTGTTACTCAACGAGAAACCCTCTGAGACACGTTCAGCCAGAAACAAGCTCCCAGAAGACAGCATCAACTGTCCAGTTTATACTAATGCCATCACTGGATTAGTGCACTCTTTCGTACACCATCACAAACCAGTGTTTTGGGCAGAGAAGGGTCCAGTGGCACTAACCCAGTGAGGCAAACAGGCCTACTATGAAGATATAAGTACACCCAGTGGGTAGAAGAGAGGAGGTTTACACCTTGGAATCCAAAATTATTTGGCAGGTCCAGAGCAAAGTAACATCCACTCTGTGTTGGCTCTGTGAAGCAATACAGAGTTGCCTGAAACATCTTGTGCTCATGCGTTACCAAACAGCCCCTAACCAGGAGGTTTCCACATACTCCAAAATAACTACTAATCCGAGCACAAAATTAACTACAAATGCCTCAGATTTCCAAACCAATACACACATTTCCACAGAAAGTTTAGAAAGGAGAAAAAGCCCAATGAGCAGCAGTTTTTTGAGAAACAGTTGATTTTCTTTTCCTTCCCCTGACCAGCACAGGATATCCTCTGATATTTTTTCTTTATACATCCTTGTATTTCCACTGCTTGCATTTATCTCCTGTCAGCCAGAACAAGGCCTGCCTCTGCAGAAGACAAACCTCATGGTGGTGCCAGAACCACAACAATAGAGCTCAGAGCCAGCTAAAACAAACACAAGAAGAGCTCAGACAAATCAAGCCCAACTCTTGACCATCCCCACCACTTCTGAGAGACCAAACCTTCCTGGAATAATACACAGGACATTTTCCTGACATTCAACTTAAACATTTATCTGTTGCTCCTACTTCTGAACATGCTTCTGTGCATTTACCCTCTAATAACTGAACACAACCCTTCACCATTTTATTAGTTTACCCTGCTAAGTTTATTACTGTGATTTATTAACGCTCTACCTTCCCAACTCACTCCTTCCAGCTTCAATTATTTCACTGATTTTCTCTGCATTAAATCCAGTTAGCTAATGTCTTCATCTTGGTGGTGGGATTCTAAGCCTGATCTTGCCACAAGCACATCAATTTCCTTCTAGTCCAATATCCATCTTGACATTATTGCAACTCCATATATTTTCTTCCCAACCTTCCCCTGTGCCTTGCAAAGAGTTCTCTGTTTTCCAGTGAAAGCATGCTCTGTGTTTTTAAGGATCCTTGTCACAGCAACATCCACCTAAATGGCTATGTGTGACTCCTGTTTCTCTTTACAACATTTTCAGATTTAGAAAGCTATAAGGCAAATAAAAAGTATATAATATGTTTTTGGGAAGTTCTCAGTGACTTTCCTCCAGTTACTCACTTTCTGTCACACTATTTAGGGGCATTTCTCCATTTTGTTTTGCTTTGTTTTTTTTTTTTTTTAATAATCAGCCATAGATTTAGCTATGTTTTTTTGGTCTATCCCAAAGTTATGTACTAATGTTTTCCTTCTGGATTACATTCATGTTCTAGAATGACCTGACGTTTTCTTTAAAATGTTCTTTTTCACTTTTACAGGAGTCCTAAAACCAGACACCTTCCTCGTAATTCCCAAGCTACACAATTCCTTCCTTATCCCCTGGTAGTTACACTATAATTATTTTTGTACTTCTGGTCATTCTTCAATTTGAGTCATCTAATGCTGCTCCTAACTAAGATAAAAAAGGATTTTTTTTCTGTGAGATCTATGAAAACTCTATCAAAGTAGAGGTATCAGTAAATTAGAAGAATGCAACACCATTTTTATAACCTCCTTTGAGAAATGGCAACCTGTAGCATAACTGATTTTTAAGAACTGCTGTGATCTGTCACTCAAGGTCTCCAACTGCCTTGTACGTTACAAAAAAGGTAAGTAATTGAATACCCATTGTGCCTGTAAGAAAGTATTGATCATGCTGTTCAAGTTTAATGCCTTTTGGAGAAGGACTGCTCATTCCATTTCCTCCCACCTGCACCATTTCTTTGTCTTTCAGTTGTACGTTACTTCAATAAAACCAGGATTCAGAAAAACTGATTCTCAAGTATTTAGAATACAATTACACTTAAATGTTATGAACCACTAAAAATTCACCCTTTACTCTCTTTTTATTTCAAACAACAATGCTACCTTTTACCTCCACAGAACCAGCCAGCTTTTCTGTAAGACTGCATGATGGTACACCTAGTAACATCTTTCATTCAGGCTACTGTAATTCCTCTTGTACCTGCAATAGCTCAGGACAAGAGGTTCTAGGGCACTTTCAGAGCACATACTGGGGCAACTACATTTTGGAAACAAATAGTGTATTTCATTTTAATTGAAAACATCGATGTTGGTAACTTCCCAGCACTGGCTTAAACAGGGAATACATAGTGAAAACTTAGAATTCCACAGTTTATATTTGCATGTTATCTTCAGAAAACATTTTGATAAGCAAACCAGTTTTGTTTCTCCAGGTAGTTGCCCAGTTACGCCCTTTTTATCTAACTGCAGATAAAAGACACTTAAGTTTTCAAGCAGCTACTATGAGCTAATTTTGGTTTCTTTTGAGATGAAAGAAGAAATGGGACTGGGTAATGAGGAACAGAGAGGGATTTCCATGCCACCCTTCTTCTCTGTATACACTTATCTGACATACTTCATTAGGTCACCAGAGGCTTTATTGATTTCCATAAATATACATCACCCCCATTCACATCTTTAGTAACTCCACATAGTAAACTTACTTATTACCATGACTGCTGCTTTGCAATAAAAGTACTCTAAATGGGGGGCGGGGGGGAGGTAATTTTGAGAACTAGCACTTGTGATTAACAAGCAAACTCACCACCTCAACTTTGCAAAACCTGCTTCCAGCCCCACACATTGTCTGCTACTCCATCATCCCACCCCTGCTTTCAGCTTCCTTCCCAGCACTCCCTTTTGCTTTAAAACTACTATCCCAGTTGCAATCTCCTCTAATGTGCCTCCTTGAGATACTTTCTGTCACAAGGTTGAAAGTACTTCCCTCTTGGACAACACTAAGTGATTCAATTTTAAAGCTTACTCTCTATAAAGAGATCTTTTTGGCTTGAGGACTTACTTCAGACATTCTTATGGCTTGTCTAAAGAAGAAACACTGTAAAATAAAACACTCTTCCTATAGTCATATATAGAATCATGCATTTTTGCTTTGCCAGCTATGGTGCCTTTTCCATTTGCACTGAAAGAGAATTAAAATTAGCAGCAAAAAGGCCCTTTGCACCCAAAAAGAGCATTCACACTTAACAAGTTTACTTTAAATTTTCACCAGCCAAATGATTTTGTATGAACTCCACACACTGGCACTCACTCATTCATACCCTATGAATCATTAATCTGACAGGGCCAGAGAAAATTCCCAAATGCCTTCCAAAACCTTCTCCATATCACGCTTCCAGATTTCCATACAGGCCTTAAACTGCATTACTGAAGTGCAGTTCTCAGTGACATGTGCACAGTGTAACAGCAAAATCACACCTGTCATCCAAGAAGAAGTTCAATATGTCAACTATTGCACTTTGAATTTCCACAGATGTTTGCTCAGCAGCGAACTCCTCACATAGACACATTCACACACTTACAGGAATCTGTTTAACCACACCAAGCTACTCTTATTCCTGGGCAGAATTCTTCCATTACCAAAGACTCAGAAGATGGCTACAAGAAGGAACAGAGGTTGCCATAGGGGAAGCACATGAAGGCTACCCAGAATTAGCAGTGAGGGTCACAGGCACTTGGGAAATGGAGCACAAGTTAAAGTTATTCATAAGCCACAGCCTCACAGCTGCATTTAGTAATAATCACACAGTGAATTTTATACCTCTGGTCCAGTACCCTCATGCCTTTCCTGTATGTCTTCCTTTTTTAATTAGGCAACCTTACTGCTCCTGCAGTACTTGTGACAACTTACCCTGCCCTCCGCTTCCATACAGCAAACAACAGCATCAGTATTCTAGGGGAATTTTCAAGCCATTAGGTGTTCTTGTAACTTATTATCTGACAAACCTATTTAAAAAACTAGAATGAAAAAGGTGCATTTCTGTTTGCAGTATAGCACAAGTAATTTCAAAAGTAATTCCTTGGAAATATACCGTATTTGCCAAGAACTTCCTTTTGATAACCATGAATATATTCAGTGCCACTCTCCCACACTGGAACAGAAAGCATTCAGAGTGCCAAGACAGCTGCCTAATAACCCCTCCTAAACTCTGAGCCTGTTATTGCCTTTGCTGGGTAGGTAGAAAAACTTGTACCAAGTTTAGAAAGCTGTGTCACAAGCAGCTCACAGCAGAGCTCAATGGAGCACACCCTGGCCTCCAGTATCAGTCTTTTCCTTCCACACTTGACACAGGGATTAATAAAACATCATCTGCATAGGCTTCAGCAATGGAGTGATCAGAAGAGCTCTCCTTTGCTGGGGTTAACAAAAAAATAATATATATACATATATATATATCTTATCACTCAGTGGTTCCCCAATGTGGACAATAATGTACATGAACTTCTCCATCCTGACACTGGATTTCCTTTGCCTTCATCTCCTGTCACTGAGTATGGGAAGCAGCAAGGTATCCTGTTTTCCCAACCACAGACAAGCAGTTCACATTATTCATTTCTGAATCACCACGAGATGACTGCTAAGTGCTCCTTTCCAAACTACACCTGCCTCTTTAGCTGGGAGCACATACTTCATACTTGAAACTTCACACAGAAACACACAGCTACCTCTGTCTTCAGACAGGCAGACTGCTCTTTTGGCTTCCATTCAAGTGCCTACTTGTGCTTTAGTTAATCATTCTTCTTTTCAAAGGTGTCAGATCTTGGAACTCCCCTCCATCACAGAGTCTTACATTGCTGCGTTGCACAGGTGGGGTTGCCAAGGCCATCCCAGTGCCACTGAGTGGATTCGTATTTGTAAATGGTTTTTCTTCTACTTAGATATTCACACCCTACTGCATAATCTCACTTGTAGTAGGACTTATATTCCTTAACTACTTTAGGTGAGTTCTTAAGAAGTACTTAAAATATCTAAACAGTTCTTCGCATACCAGGTTCTTCCAATAATTCTTCAAAAATTCAAATCCCTTTGTCTCTCAAGGGATCACTAGTACTAAAACAACAAAAAGAATTGGAAATTACCTCCCCTTCATTCCAACCAGAGAGCCACTCAGGCTACAGCATGCGTTCTGCACATTAGTGGCAGTTAAGCTATAAAAGTGAACTAATATCTGTGTCATGTGAGATGTATTCACATTTGCAGAAGTTAACTGAACACTACGATAATGGTTATTTTAATTGCAATTTGCTACAGGTCTTCATTCCAATCCTTCCACTTCTTGAAGCATCTTACCAGTTCCATCATCTGCATCATTGTGACCAATCTGCCAAATCTCTGATTTTGTCCCAAAGCCATCAGTGGCAGAAGACTCCGTATAGTCTGCAGGGTTAAATGTCCTAGAGTTTCAAAAGTTAAGAAATGGAAGAGAGCACATGGGTCATTCAATGAACACAAGTGTCATCATTTTTAGCTGACTTTGTATTAGATTTAACATCTTGACTTCCACATAATTTATCTTGGTAGTTTGGGCTTCAAAAGATTTTTTTCCTCTATAAGCAGACAGATAAAAGAGGGAGAAAAGAGAACAGGAGGAAAAAAGTGAGGAGACTGGGAAAAAAAATATTACTGTAGAGAAACTGAACCAAAAAAAAAACAATTCCTGAAAAAGCAGTTAACAGCATACCTACTCCTCCCAGTCTTATAAAGCTTTAGTTCATATGCACAATGATAAGACCCTCTCAGCTGATGGTTTCTCAGCAGGTGTCTGACTGATGAGAAACCAGTATCATGTCCTTTCAGAGCACCAGACCTGCGCAGGACAGGAGTCAGAACATCAGTAAGATTATTTCAGGATGCACTCCTCACACCAATGCCAAAACACACAGATGCAGCTAAAAGGTGAAAAAGGATTAATGAAGAAAAATCCCTTTTCATCTTATTATCTGCAATATGAACAAGAAGGATTATTAGAGAAATAGTATTAGCCTCCTGTTCATCATGACATCACTGAAATTACATCACTAAAATCATTCATATGACATTCAAGGTAAACACTAAGTGAAACTAGTGGAGGATATACTTCTATAAAGCAAATTATCCCAACAAAACTGAAAAACTTTAGAGTTGCTAAGTAACTTCTTTTGATTCTGTTTTAGGGCCCATATATGTCCAAACAGCAGAAGCATGAAACCTCACAATGGGAGAGAGTTTATAATCACTAGATTTCCTGGTTTTATATACGACTTCCACGTTCTACATTATACTGAATAACAAGTATTTTTTTTGAGTTGACCTAGGACTATAGGCACCACACAGAACTTTCAGCCTCCAAGGCACTATGGGGCTGCTTCTTATAGGTACAAACTGGTCCTCCAAGTCTGAGATATTAACACTGCATAAACATACATTAGGTTTGTGTAGGTGTGGCTAGTCATAAATACTAGTATAAGACAAAAATGATCCATTAATCATCAATCGTATTTGAGAATTTTTACATCCATACTTGTTTATCAAACATACAGCAACATTAATACATAGAGCAGCAATACTGTCAATTAATATTTCACTGAGTTTGATCCTTGCCAAAACCTGTGCTCTGCATGTTTCTTACCCCATGCCTTGGGCTGAAAACCTCCCTGTTCCTCTCCCTCTGCCACGTCCAAACCCTAGGAGAGAAAACATCATTTAACAGCAAAGGCAGAGGAGCCACCAATCACTGGTCTAGCACATTAAAGTTGAAGAAGGAATCTACCACAATTAAATACCATTTACTTCTCAAATTTCCCTATAGGAAGGAAGCAACGGTTCATTTAAGACTATGCATTTTAACAGGACTTGCAAATCCTTTGCTACCTTTCCTGTGGCTAGTGAAATAGATCCAAACACCAAGAAAAGGACTCATCTAGAGACTCATTCCACATGAGACTGCTATTTGTATATCATTAGACATTGCTCAATATTTTGTCTCTATTTTCTCACTCTTGCCTAAGACGCTCTAGAATCCCAGCCTCCCTGTGTACCCTGATCTCTCAAGAAATTCCCTGTCACCCCTCGTCTGAAAGGAGAATGTTAAACACTCCATTTGTTTCCTTGTCTAACTCAGCCCACCCTCTGCGCTTTCAACAAGTTGTGTATCACACATACCTTTTGATTCCCCTTTAATAATAGTTACTGTCTCAAAAATTAACCAATTCAAATTACTCAAACAACTTCCTTGTTACCACCCAGAAGAACACTAATTTCTATTTTAACAAAAACAACTATTTGTTGCTTCCAATTTTGGTTGCCAACCTCAATTTCTAAGATCCTTGATACAGCAAATGGCTTTATTTCCTCCTGTTGTGTAGGGCCAACGAGGCATGAATCCCATTTATAAAGCACATGTCCAAATAAACTGTTAAAAACTATTTCTTAGATATTTCTGCATAATTTTTCTTTTCCTTTTTTTAAGACCTCAATATCTGAGGCTTTTTTTTTATCTGGGATGTTTTTTAGGAGTAAGACTGTAAATGCCATTTTATACCACAAGAACAGGAAGAAGAGCTGCAGACTAAGAACAAAGTGGGTTTTTTTACAGCAAAGGTATGTGGTAATAATAAGTCACTGAACAACTACAAGTATACCAGAGCACAAAAATTATAATCCTAACTCACCAATACACTGGTTGTCCAAACATCACAATTGCTCATGACAGGTTGTTTGAATTTGGAATTACCCCTTATTTTCAGGGACCACCTAACCTGAATAAGACCAGTAGATCCAGCACATGGTAAAATCAGTTTAGGAAGTTCCTATTTTCATGACTTTCCCTCCCCTCACCACCCATTCTTCCCCTTGCCCTTGTTCACTGGTCAAGCGTTCAAAGATATTTCTAAAATGTCCACTACCTACATTTCCAGGACTTAGAGGCACCCAAGCAGCAGGACAGCTTAACTACATTTTGATAGAAGGGTTTACTTGTATTCTATCAAAGGTGACAACTGCTAGCTACAGAGAAACCATGGAAACCTTGAGAGCAAATATTCCCATCCAGCAACACACAGTATTTTGGTGGGACGAGAACTCAGCCAGACCTGCTATCTCTTCCTTTTGCTCTCTTTATACAACCAGTTGGAAAGAAGGCAAAGGTTAGGAAAACGTTAACAACAGCTGTAACCCCGCAATCACCAACCCTCTTTACCAAGCTCATGCATGGAGCTGTGCTCTTTGCTGTGCCATAAACAACAGTGCCCCAGACCCTGCTATACCCAACTGATAGGTCTGTGACTAGTGGAGTCCCTCAGGGGTCGGTGCTGGGACCAGTGCTGTTTAATATTTTCATCAACGACCTGGATGAGGGAACCAAGTGTACTCTCAGCAAGTTCACTGATGACACTAAACTGGGAGGAGTGGCTGACACACCAGAAGGCTGTGCTGCCATTCAGAGAGACCTGGACAGGCTGGAAAGTTGGGCAGGGAGAAATTTGATGAAATTCAACAAGGGCAAGTGTAGAGTCTTGCATCTGGGGAGGAACAACCCCATGTACCAGTACAGGCTGGGGACTGACCTGCTGGAAAGTAGCAAAGGGGAAAGGGACCTGGGGCTCGTGGTGGATAGGAGGATGAACATGAGCCAGCAATGTGCCCTTGTGGCCAAGAGGGCAAATGGCATCCTAGGGTGCATTAGAAAGGGTGTGGTTAGTAGGTCAAGAGAGGTTCTCCTTCCCCTCTATTCTGACTTGGTTAGGCCGCATCTGGAATATTGCGTCCAGTTCTGGGCCCCTCAGTTCAAGAAGGACAGGGAACTGCTTGAAAGAGTCCAGCGCAGAGCCACAAAGATGATAAAGGGAGAGGAACACCTCCCTTATGAGGAGAGGCTGAAGGAGCTGGGTCTCTTCAGCTTGGAGAAGAGGAGACTGAGGGGTGACCTCATCAGTGTTTACAAATATGTAACGGGTGGGTGTCAAGATGATGGAGCTAGGCTTTTTTCAGTGATATCCAGTGGTAGGACAAGGGGCAATGGGTGTAAACTGGAGCATAGAAGGTTCCATGTGAACATCAGGAAGAACTTCTTTACTGTGAGAGTGACAGAGCACTGGAACAGGTTGCCCAATGGGGTTGTGGAGTCTCCCACATCGGAGATATTCAAGGCCCACCTGGACAACTTCCTGTGTGATGTACTCTGGGTTACCCTGCTCTTGCAGGGGGGTTGGACCAGATGATCTCTTGAGGTCCCTTCCAACCCTTGGGATTCTGTGATTGTAACTCAGCCTCTGAAACTCCTTGCACAGCCTACCTATTATACACTCTTTTCTCCTTTGCCCACCTAAGATCCCTAATCTGGGAAGTTGATACATGGCACAACAGGGTCATAGCTCTCAGATGCACAGAAGCTGCTGCACTCCAGACTATCCTCCTGCCCAGTAAATAATTTTTATAAGAGTAGAACCAGCTAAACAAGTTTACTAGGGGGCAATATAGAGGCCATCTGTGTAATAGATTTACTTCCTACAGCTATCAATACAGCATTAAACACCATTTACTACCAATGCACAGAAGACAGAACAACAGTTTTTGACAAGCTCAGATACAAGTCTGACTGGGAGCTGCAAATTGCAGAAACAGCTAATCAGAACTGACTTCTAAGTGAGAAGGACATTAGGTAGAGAGAGATTAGCTCTCTATACCTAATCTAGTAATGCCGGTTTATGCTTGTAATGTAAAAGGTGAACTTTAAACACCACTCTAAAAAAATGTGTATAAAATGGTTTAGAGCACAACAGTTAATGTCTAAAAAAAAGTAAATTCCTGTGCTAATTCACAGGAGCAATTCTTCTATCAACACTTTTATCTACCCACAAAAAGAGAGCAAGTGAGTAGCTTATTAAATCTCCTAGTGTCTAACAGAATAGATTTTCTTATTATCAGTCAGCATGTGGAGCCCAGAAGCAAATGACAGATATCTGGCAAAGCACAAAAGTACTGCTCTGCCTCATATAAACCCGCAAAACATTTCTTCATGTTTCTTTAGGCTTGGATCTACAAACAGCCTAAAAGTACCAAGGCAGTATTGCTCACTCATTTCTGTACCAGGAACCCAGGACTAGTGAACGACATTTAAAGCTGATTGTGATACACACTCTTGTTACTACCCCTGTCCAATATAATTTAAAACTATAAACTATTTAAAACATGTTTTTGTTTCCTTTAATATTGTAACAGTTCAGCTGTATGCTCTTGGGGGTCTTTTATTGCTCTTCATCATATCCCCTTCAGCTGATTTAGCCATCACTTACTGAATTTACATTTTTCTTTTCTGGGGCAAATTCTGGAGAAGTCAACACTTCCTTGCCACTCAGGCAGGTGGAAAGATTATCTGTTTCCACTAAAACACGCTAGGAATTCAAAACACTCAACTGTACAATCAAGTCTTCACCCTGGTACCATAGAAAGAATAGTTTATCTCATTCACAACATTGCTTCCCCCAGAACAAACACACACTACACAGGACTATGAGAAAAGTGTGCTGTATTACAATTCAGATGGCCCGAGCCCATGAACTTAACAGCTTACTCTGTAGAAAATCTAGTTTTCCAAGCTTGCAAACCTAAACCCTTCCACTGCAACACAGCTGCTTTATTTCAAAGCTCAGATTTTCACACTGACAGGTTTAAATTAAATGAAAGCACTTTGAGGTTAAAAAACAGGCCTAAGAACAGCTGAAAGGAAAAGGAAATGCAGACTGGAAGGGCAGGCAACACCCCAGATTTGTGCTTATCTCCAACTACACAGTTACTGAACAGCCCTGGTCTCTGCTTTGGAAATGCAAAGCCAGCCATCCTCAGCAGACATCAACCAGGGTCTTAAGACTTATGAAGAGATAAAGAAGCTAAGTACAGAAAGTTTGTATTCTAGGTATTCCATATTAAAGAAACAAAAAAGACATATTTAATAAATTCAAATCACTTTTGTCTTATTAGTCAGAATAAAGCTAGAAGCATTGGATCAGCTTTACATACTGCATGTACTCTAATAACCATTTTTTGAAGCAAATGCAGATAACTTTCAACTCTAAAGTTCCGTTTAAAAGAAAATAAATAACTTACATTAAAGCTAAGTTCTGGTTTATCTTAAAAAAAGAGTAAGTAAAATAAAATAATAAAAACATTATAGTTTCCTAACCAATGCAGAATCAACTACTGCAAAACTAAACAACCTTCAGACAAATCTCCAGATGGTCTGCTCCACACTGAGGTCTTGAAAAAAAAAATCCTCCTCACTAGTTCTGGCAAAGGAAACCCAAAATATATCCTGTGCCAACTGGGCTAAGCTTTTGAAACAAGAGAATGTTTAAACATGCAGTTCTGATTATAGAATCTCTTTTTTTTTTCAAGGACAGCATACTCACCTCGAAAAGTTAAAAAACAAAAAACAAAACAAGAGTACAATCTGGGTTTTACAAACATTTACAAAAGCTTAAGCTGCTTTGCTTTCTTATATAGCCAGCAGTGAATGAGTTTAAAGGCTCCTTACCATGCTGTTTAAGTCCAAAACTAAAACATAATGGTTTTCCCACTGCTTTTTATTTCTGTTTCTTTAGAAAAAATTTCCCCTGTCAGCATTCACATTTATGACATATTCATGTTGCTTTGGAAGAATGATGATAGAGGAACAGAAGTAAAAGCAACAAATCCATTTTCACTTTGCAAATCAGAAAAATTGCTACACTTGAGTTTGTAACAATTTCTATGAATCAAGACCAAAAGCTCACCTATCTGATATCCCATTATCAGCTATGGTCAATGAGGTATCTAGGGAAGAATATGCAAACTGTAACCACAGTGCAGTTTCTCTGGACACTCTCCTGGTCTACACCCATTTGTAGCTCAGACTTCCTCAGCCAAAGATAACTTACGTACATCAAAAAGCCTCACTCGTTTTTGCTTTTCCTGCTCTGTTTTTTTTCTTTTCTTTTTTTTAGGATAAAATTGCCAACTCTCTCTGTGGGTAAGTTTTCAGTACCCATATAATCTTATTGAAAGGAGCTCCTTAGGTTAACTAAGGAAGAACCTTAGTTCTTCTTAGTGTCTGAAGAGCCACCTTGGTCTGTTGTGAACCTGTGATCTACTGATTTCACTCAGTATTCTCTCATTTGCATACTTGGTTGGAGTGATCATTTGATTTCCCCACAGAACCTTCTCCACACAAATTTTACAGATCTCTACCATACATCCACTCAGCCCTCACTCTTTTGCAGCTGGAGAAGGCCCTCTCTGTTCCTCACACCCCACAAGAGCCTTCTCAATACCTCAGCAGCTTCAAAAGCCTTTTCTAGTTCTATCGCGTCCTTTTCAACATTGAGTGGAGGGCAGTGGGAGGACCAGACCTACACTAAGAGTCAAAGGTACAAGAACAGTAAAGAAAAAAAAAAAAGCAGCAAAAAAAGCAGCACAATCCCCCTCCCCTGCTCCCCCCCCCCAAAAAGTGCCTATGAAGTTTGTCAATTTGTATAAAACATGCAGCTGATTAAAACATGTGAGGAAACACTTCTAGAGCTGGCTATCTTAGAGACACAACCATCTTCCTCTAATTCCTTCAAGAGATTTCATTCCAGATAGTTACAAATCCTTGCAATACTGACACACAAACAGTAATTTCATCAAAGTGATTACGTTTATCACCATTACAGTATTTTTACATGTAAATTAACCTCAATCAAGAAAGTCAGTTATGAAGAGAAAGACAAATGAGACGGACATCTTTAAAAAAAAAAAAGAGAAATCCCTTGACTGTTTTCCAAGCCAAAGTTTACACCCTCATCTGGGCAAGCAAAAATTAAGAGCAGAGCAATTCCAGCTGGTATGTGTCCTGAAACATATCCTGTGATGTGGTTTTGCTTTCTGTTAATCAGTCAGTAATGTGTATCTGTTTCAAATCCCTGACCTTCTGCATATCAGCAACAAGTGGTGTTTGTACACTGTATACCTACTACCCTATAAAGCTGCAAGGAATGCCACACAGCCGTTAACAGATGGTCTTCTCAAAAACCAAACTAGTGCCGACAGCACCAAGGCTGAAATACTCAGTACTGGGGATTTTCCTCCTCAGTAAGCAGCACATTATCATCCCAATGTCCATCCCATTTCTGCTATTTGCAGGGCATGTAATGTCTTAGAATTAAGTAGCTCTACAGTGAAGCAGTAATACAATGGCCCAGTACCTTCCCCTAGAAAACGGCCAGTAACATCGCTCTAACTTGAGAAGGTAGCTTACAATAGAAACAATGCACTGCTCAGATAATTAGCTAACCCCTAATTTCATATCTAATGCCTAGATTACTACACACACATCTGCATGAAGCATTTCTAAAACAAAGGTTCTGTGATGATTACCAGCAATCTGTTTACTTTCAGCTATTTATTCCACACTTGACTATTCTGGGTAACAGAAAAGAAAGACTGCTGAATTAAACAGCAGGAAACTTTTATTATTCCTAATAATACGCAAATAAAGAAGGTCATGCATCCCTGAAATACTGAGAATGGAATTATAAAGCTTTACACAACTCCCTGCAGTTTTCAAGGGCTTGTATTACAAAATTAAATTAGGTATTTCCTGCCATGGAACACACACATTTGTAATGTAATGATCCTGAAGTCATTCAACAGGTTTATCACAGACACTTCATTAAGACACTTTGCTCACATGAATGTCTGAAATACTTGGTAGAGATACACAGTAATGCTATGCACACTAACCACTGAACAGAAACTGGTTAAGTTGCTCCTCTTTCTTCAGACAGATGTGTCCATCTGAGCTGATGATTGCTTTGTCTCGAGACATAAGATATCAATCTAGAGAGCTACGGTGTTGACAACAAAAGCAGCATATTGTTCATAGAGTTACAAAGGAAAAATAGACTTCATTTGAAATTAACCTCTACATTTCATCCAGCATTTTAAAAAATACTACCTTTATATTTTTAATCTGAGTATAAAGGATTATTTTATAAGACAAATACTGAAATACTTAACATTTTATCAATTAATAGAGCTAACATACTGAAAACTGTAGCTGTGAACTGTACCGCACCCTCCCCTGCAAAGCTATCTCTGCACACATCAGTTAATATTTGCCAATTCAGAAGCACAACGGAGTCATTCCTGCAACCCTTAGAAACTACCTGTTTTTTCCACTCCTTCAAGATGCAGATTTGGATACAATGAAGTTGGATGGGCCTGTCTTCAAATGCCTCATTACTGGATATTCCAAATAAAGGGGAGTCTTTTGAAGGCAGAATTTTCCTTCAAGGAAGACATTACTTACTAATTATATTAGCTCTTCTGTGCACTTTATCAGCTTAACTCAGTTAATACCCACTTCCCCACACAACCTGCACTGTACATAGGTTATACAGTTCATTCTTCCTGCTCTAAGAAAAAACAATCCTCTTTCCACTCAAACCCGTGAAAATCCAAACCAACTACACATTCCTTGATTTCACATAAAATCCATTATCAACATCCTTCCTGTACCTTCTGCAGGATAGGATCAGAGTTGTACCCAATATTCCACAGTACTCTTTTTCCACACTTCTCCGTGCCAACTCTTTTATGCCAAATTCCTTCTCTTACCAAAAAGTCTCTAAGGTGGCTTGTGCTTTCTCTGACTGGCTACCAAAAGCAGAAGGCAAGCCTGGCAACCATATCCACCTCAAAGAAACAGCACAAATACACACTGAACACCTTCCGAAGTGCCCTACAGATGGAATCTTGTACTCTCCTGCTGCCAGAGAACAACCTGAGGAACCCAGTGCACTCAAGACTCACAGAAGGCTGTCATGAGTCAGTCTGGGAAAACACCTCTCCATAGCCAAAGTACACCAGCCTGCTACACAGGAAACTACCCTAAAGGTTATTTGGGTCAATTGTTTTAAGTTGATCTGAGACCAAGACATGACAAGGGGTAAGGGAGGAGGATGCATCTAAATTAAAGGTGGGTGAAGTGCTTATGGAAGTAAAGGATAACTAACAAATGCTTAAAAAGAAGTATTTAGAGAAATAAATCAGAAAGTTCCAGTCGGTGCCAGTCCCACACCAATGCCACCAATCTTACCTCTCCCACGGCCACGCTTCCCACGGTCTGAAGGCCTGTCTCCTTGATTGCTGTCCACTCCATTTTCTTCAACTCTTACTGTAGAGAGAGGACAGCTTAAAAGAAACTTGAAAGACTTACCCATGACACAATACAGTCATCTGTACCGCAAAAGGAAAGGCAAGATTTTAAAGTGGGCTGTTCAACAGATCTCAGTCAGCCCTCTCCTTTGGGGGCCTAGCAAGTTATGTTTACTTTGCAGTGGACAATTACAAAGCAAAATATCTAATAAGAGGGAAATGTCCCTCAGCAGACACACATCTGGGGATGGAAGGGGGACAGTGTTTTGCAGACTACCGGAGACTACACTATTTAATTATGTCTCACCTCTTTAAGGAGGTAGGAAATAAAGCTGTTTCACACTGTGCTTTCTTGATAATAGGCTGGTGACAACAGTGAAAGAATAAAGGATAACCAGGAAAAACAGCTCTTCTCCTCCTGTCCATACCACACCTCTGTACAACCAGGGAAACTTAAAGGAACTCTCCTCTATATTTAAATCAGAGGTATGAGTGAAGGTGAGGCATTAGAAGAGCACTGCAACTTAATCATTTTGTGAAAAACTCCCAAGGAAATACTCTAATAGATGGCTGTCTCCTTGAAGAAAAAAATACATAAAAAAATGACTGGCCATTTAAAACACTGCTGAGATTTTGTGCTGCACAACTTCTTCAAATGACAGAAGAAAAAAAAAAAATCACTAATGCTTGGATACAAAGCTGGGGAGGTTTGATAACCATCTGGAAAATCTTTAATTCAAATTTTGCCCATCACTTTTATTTTGATGGATCCAATTTCAATTTGTTTTCAGTACAGCTCCAAGTCTTATTAATATTTTTTGCCATCCTGACATTATTCTTTCCTACGAAGATTCACAACATCTTCACTGGCACAATATCTGAAAACATCCCAGTAATGAATTAGAAGAGTTGGATAATATTGTAAACATTTTTCCTGCTTTTAAGCAAAAAGCTAAACATATTGTTTTCATTCCAGTTCTTCTGATCATCTATCAGTGTTTTGTACAGCCTATAAAGGCAATGTGTACAACTTTGATGCTGCTGATAAAAAGTAAGGAGAAAAAGCAGTGTGCATCCAATGGTAGTCTAATGTGATTCTACCTAACTTGGAAACATCAGCTTGCTTTTGTATGATGTATTATTGCGACTGTATAAACTGTACCGATTTTAAACGTTTCAACTGACCAAAGAATTTTCCCTGTTGTAGAAACTCACCTTTTGGTCAGCTTATATGAGTAAGATATGCTAGATATTAATAATGATCCCAGTCTTTTAATTCCCCTTATGAGAAGATATTATCTGTATCTCGTAGAGAAGAGATTCAGAGCACCCCTGCGGAGAAGGACTTGGGGGTGTTCGTTGATGAGAAAATGAACATGAGCCGGCTTCAGTGTGCGCTCACAGCCCAGAAAGCAACCGTATCCTGGGCTGCATCAAAAGAAGCGTGACCAGCAGGTCGAAGGAGGTGATCCTGCCACTCTGCTCTGCTCCTATGAGACCTCACTTGGAGTATAGTGTGCAGTTCTGGTGTCCTCAACATAAAAAGGACATGGAACTGTTGGAACAACTACAGAGGAGGCCACGAGGATGATCAGGGGACTGGAGCACCTCCTCTATGAAGGCAGGCTGAGAAAGTTGGGGCTGTTCAGCCTGGAGAAGAGAAGGCTGCGTGGAGACTTCCAGTATCTGAAGGGGGCCTGTAAGGATGCTGGGGATGGACTCTTCATTAGGGACTGCAGGGATAGGACAAGGGGTAATGGGTTAAAGCTTAAACAGGGAAGTTTAGACTGGATATAAGGAGGAAGTTCTTTACCATGAGGCTGGTGAGGCACTGGAATAGGTTGCCCAGGGAGTTGTGAATGATCCATCCCTGGCAGTGTTCAAGACCAGGCTGCACAGAGCCTTGGGTGACATGGTGTAGTGTGAGGTGTCCCTGTCCACGGCACGGGGGTTGGAAGTAGGTCATCTTAAGATCGTTTCCAACCCTAACTATTCTATGATTCCATGACTCTAAGATGAGACCATCTTCAGGTTCTCCCATTCATAAAAGGAGATGGAGTCAAAGCTGGGTAAGTTTTTCATTAAAAGAAACAAAAAAGTGTACCAGCTGTGCAGGAGCATACTTGCTTTCAAGGAGTCTTACAAAGACTCAATATTAAATCTTAAAGAATAGGAATCTGTAGAAGATCAATTACTCTCAATGAAATGAAGCATCTCTGCACAAGCACAGACCATCTCCAAACCAAGTCACATATACCAAGCATACCTGTTGCACAAGTTATGATCCCCTCAGTACTGAGCTGTAGCTTGGACAGACTTCATTCCATTAAGCATTTGTTACTAACACAGCCAGTTTCAGCCACCAGAAAAGTGTCCGAACCTTTAGGAATGAACACCTGTACGTACACTCTCGGCCACGGCTGCCTCCTCTTCCCCGTCTGCTGGAGCTTCCCCGTCCACGACTCACTTCTCTGTCCCCTCGTTTTTCTCTGTTCTCTTTGTTTTCTGAACCTTCCTTTCCAAGGCTTTTCTTCTTTCCCCCTACAGTCTCCCAAGAAGTCTATTTGGGTAGAACAGAATTAGAAACAAAAGTCAAAATGAAGAGACAGATCTCAATCCATAATTCCACCTCAAACCCCTTCAGTTCATGGCAAAAAAAAAAAAAAAAAAAAAAACACACAGGAATTTCTGTAACATCATGTATGTAATAATTTTCAAACTTCACTGATAGAAATGGGAAAAAATGAGCTGTGCTTTTGGGAACAGAAGAGAAAGTGACAAGTTGGCCTGGCTTACAGAGTGTGGGGAGCTCAAATATTTCTGGCTATAATGGACATTTACTAGTTCAAGGAAGCCTAGATACACCCACAGCCTACAAAACCTGCAAAGCAAGCAACAGTTTTCCTCTCAACTACCTCCATAAATCTAGCAAGGGAGCATGCAGAGAGCCATCTTCTCTCAAGGAAATGAAAAAATGCTTATAAGCATCGCTGAACAAGAGACTGACAAGTACGTGGCCTAAGGGTGGGAGAAGAAAAAACATTATCCAGACATATGAGAATTCAAGTACCAGGAAACAGAATGGCAGAGCAACAACCTGGGAAAACTGGGGCAATGATAAGCCATCCAGCCCTAACAGCTACAGCTTATCACACACTGCAAAAGAGAGGAAAAGTTATGTCTAAAGCAGACAAGGGACTAAGTTCCAGATACCAGGCTTCATCTCTAACATTAACACTGCCTTTAAAATAAATTCAAGGATCATTTAGAGTCCATAAGAGTATCTGTAGGACTTGAAAATAAAATGACTAGAACACTCGCTAAGAGTAGCACAGCACCTCATATATGATGCAATTGCACGGCTTGTCCGTTGATTCACAGTTGCAAAGTGAAGAAAAGTAGTATTTCCAAACTATTAAGACAGCAGACAGGTTTATATGTCTATCCCCACTCTGTGAGCTTATAATCTAGATAAAGTATTTAAGCAGGAAATTTGCATATGGAAGTAAGCAGACATCAACTTTGAATCACTAAACACATTAACTCTAACAGGCACCTGCATCATACAAAAAAGGCTGGCTATCAGTACTTTTAGGTCCCGTCCTACCTCCTCTCAATTCGGACAACAGCAACCCAGAAGTCCTCACAAGCTAGGCAATGACCAGCTAGTCCAAGCTGCCCAGAATGAAGAAAAGTAATGCTATGGGGAAAGCATGTAACAAAGCAGTTTATAAGTATAAACTCAGTGGTTCATTGTATCTATTTAACCATGCATTTATTTACCCATACCAAGTGCAACATTTTACACCTGGGTCAGAGCAATCTCAGACACAGCTACAGGTTGGGCAGAGAAGAGATTCAGAGCAGCCCTGCAGAGAAGGACTCGGGGGTACTGGTTGACGGGAAAATGAACACGAGCCGGCTTCAGTGTGCGTTTGCAGCTCAGAAACCAACCGTATCCTGGGCTGCATCAAAAGGAGCGTGACCAGCAGGTCGAAGGAGGTGATCCTGCCCTTCTACTCTGCTTTTGTGAGACCTCACTTGGAGTATTGTGTGCAGTTCTGGTGTCCTCAGCATAAAAAGGACATGGACCTGTTGGAACAAGTCCAGAGGAGGGCCATGAGGATAATCAGGGGACTGGAGCACCTCCTGTATGAAGACAGGCTGAGAAAGTTGGGGCTGTTCAGCCTGGAGAAGAGAAGGCTGCGTGGAGACCTCATAGCAGCCTTCCAGTATCTGAAGGGGGCTATAGGGATGCTGGGGAGGGACTCTTCATTAGGGACTGCAGGGATAGGACAAGGGGTAATGGGTTAAAACTTAAACAGGGGAAGTTTAGATTGGATATAAGGAGGAAGCTCTTTACTGTGAGGGTGGTGAGGCACTGGAATGGGTTGCCCAGGGAGCTGTGAATGCTCCATCCCTGGCGGTGTTCAAGGCCAGGTTGGACAGAGCCTTGGGTGAGATGGTTTAGTGTGAGGTGTCCCTGCCCATGGCAGGAGTTTGGAATTAGATGATCTTCAGGTCCTTTCCAACCCTAACTATTCTATGATTCTATCTTTTGAAAGAATAAGTTCTAACAGAATGGTCACTCTCATTTTTTTATATGGTACAGGTGAGAATGAAGGCTGAAGTCCTTTTCAATTTCATCTCCACTACAGAAGGCAACAGCACCAACTGAGGAGAACTGCAGAGAGCATGGATTAAAGTATAAAATTACAAGTTTGAGCAACACCATGTTATTTGAGTACAGAAAAACTTTCCTCCAGTCACTATCACACGGCTTTATCTGCCACAGTCCAAGTAACTGCTGTAACAAAACTGTGTAACACTAAAACAATACTAGAGCTTTAGAAACACTTCATAGGAGAACAAGTAACTGCACTGAAAACTGAAGAAGCAATTCTATATAGCTCAGAATGCACTTAGTAGCTCACCGATGGGCATGGTGCCTAGAGATCTCCAGCAATTTTTAAAAATACCCCAAACTGGATGATCCTGAAAAGCTTAAGAAGCAGCAGCCTCTCCCTGGTAAGTTTTTACACGACACAGGAAGAATTAGTAAAAGGATTATTATGAAAAGCGTCAGATCCATGCTTTCCAACAACATGATTTGAGGAAAGACTTGAGAAATTTGGCACATGATTTAAGATAGAGGATGGTACTACCTCTGGGCATGGGAATCCATCACAGACTACTGAAGCTGCCTGTTTTTGTAAACTGATTACAATTTCAGTTGAGGATGCCTGAGGCAACTGACAATTCTGATCCTGACCTCTGAAAACATGCAACAGAAGCTGCCTTGCAGGCCTCATCTTAAACGGAAAGAATAATCTGAAAGGTTCCCTTTGTTCTATCTTCAAAGTTTTAGGAAGGAAAACATTGTTGAGCATAAAATGAATCTTACATTTGTAGGAAGTTAAATGAATAGAAATCCTGGGCAAAGAAACGTGCTCTTCTCTAGTCTCATCCATAAGCCTCTGTCTTTTTCAAAGCCAGATTCTCACAACTTCAAGTGAAAAGTCTTCCTAAAGACTACATCACACAGCATAAAGACAAGAAATTATAGACATTCTATCTATCCCTCCTTGCTCTTCTAATTCCTCAGATTAGACAGGCACAACTTCTTCTAACTGAGGGGTTTTTTAAAAACAAATAAACAAACAAAAAAAAAACAACAACAACAAAAAACACTACCAAAAGAAACACCAAAAAAACTCAAACAAACAAAAATATACCCTCTCCTCCCCAGAAACTTCTAGGTCATCAAAGCAGAGTGAAACTAGAAAAAGATCAGTGAATCTGCATTTACAACTAGTAGTACCTCTACTTTCAACTTCACATCAAATCCACAGTTGAATTGTTATGAAATAGCCTTAGAACAAACCATTTGAACTGGAGGCCCATAAACCTCCCTAAAGAATAAATTTCTTCATGCCCTTCAATTAAAACTCCTTCCTCCTTAAGCCCTTTAAGTTCTGTGTATTTGTTTCCAAGTTGCATTTTGTCTACAGACAGCAGTGGGTTCAGAGGGACTTGTCATTTTGACAGGCAGAACATACGCACATGCTCTTCTAATGGACAAAGGAGTTCAGAAAGTTTCTTCCATGTCATGATCATTTATCACAACTGGCTAAAGTAAGAAAACATTTAACATTCTCTATCAACCAGGAAACTATTTTAAACTAGAAAATGACAAATACAAGAAGTACAAGAGAGCACAAAACCAGTATATTACCAAGACAGATTTAATCAAGGAAAGATGCTCTACTACTCCCAGCTCACCAGTTCACTCAGTATTACAGACTTAGGTGCTTTAGATGACCTCAACTCTGAAAAATGAAAAAAGGATAGAAAAGAAAGTCCCCTCAGTCAGAATGGTATGTCTCCTAGATCTAGAGTATGTATGGGGTGGGTTTCCTCATTAACAATAAGCCAGAATACATATCCTGACAAATCACAGGAAATACCGAATGTTCAGCATTAAAGAAAGGAAGTCCAGGTTTTCCCAATTTAGATGAAATGAAATCTAGTTTACTGCCTCAGATAAGCGTAAGAAGTCCCTCCAGCAAAAACTTCAACCGCAGCAAGACATATTTTCCTGATATCTCTTGGCATAAAAAATTGCTCTGTTCAACATCTGAAGTGACATTATTTGTTATTATATACATATTGTTTAGTCTTCTCTTTGTTTTTCAATGAAGTCATGCAAACGAGCACCACAGTGAAAGAACCAACTACTTGCTGTATCCTATTCTGCCATTGGTAACGTTGTCAATGCAATCTTCAGATGTGGAAACCTCCTCCAACTTCAATACTGACAATGCTCACCAACAAAAGTTACATGACTTAAAACACCTGCCTCGCCTTTAGACTTATAGACTGCCCTTTGTGGCAAACAGTCTCAGGCTTCAGGGTTGTGGAGGTGAGTAAATACAAATACTGCAGAAAAAAAACAGGCCTGTGTCTGACAGAGCACTGAGTTACATTGCTGAGTTAGAATTGCTGCATGTAAATGAAAGCCAGAGGAATGTGCAAGAGACCAGTTGAACACCCACAACATTTTCAAGGTTCAGCTTACCATGGGGTATGCATAGAGAAGAGAAACTGCCCTGTCTCCATTTCCTTCAAAAGAATTTCGATTGAGACATAGAAATCAAAAGCTTCTGAAATGACTTTCCCAATCGCTTGTCACTGAGAGACTACCAAGCCTCATAACACTATTATCCACTGCTGTTCATGTGGGCACAATATACATAGCCAGGAGCAGTGTGAAGACTAACAAGAAGGATTACAGAGCCCTGGGAACAGCATAAAGGACTCTTGAGCCCAGGTAGCTTTTTCATCAATTCTCCCAGTCAAAGGGAAGGGGTTTGAAAGTGCTAGTCAAATCTGGTGAATCAACAGATGGCTATGGGACTGATAACACAGCCAGGGGTTCACCTACTTACACCACACAACTTGCTTTGAGAAACCTGGTCTGCTGGGGACTGATGGAGACTTGTCAGAGAAAGGGAGGATCATCTTTGGTCACAGGTCTGCCCGCTGGTGGAGAAGGCTTTAACCTAAAGTACCAAGTGGAGGGGAACCCAAATGCATCCCACTCCTGTCAAGTCAGATGCAAGTGCCAGCAAGAGATGCCCAGAGCCTCCAGAGAGATCACAGGTCAGCAGATGAGCAGCTGAAAAGCAGCACAAAGGAATTCCTGCTAATCCAGCCAGCTTTGGGGGCCCAACCTAAATGCCTCCCTGCAAACTTATGTAGCACAGGCAATAAACAAGAGGAGTTAGAGACATGTGCACACCTGCATGGCTATGATCTTACTGGCATCACAGAGATGTGGTGGGACACCTGCTATGACTGGAGTGTTGGAATGGAAGGATACAGGCTTTTCAAGAAGAACAGGCTGGCTAGATAAGGAAGGGGTGCCACCTTCTACATCAACAACCCACTGGTGTGCATGGAGTTCTGACCAGGGATGGATGTGTGCCGACTGACAGAGCTTATCAGCCAAGATTAAGGAAGAGCAGGGACAAGGGGACATTATACTGGGGGTCTTTTCAGGCAACCTGAACAGGAAGACCATGAGGATAAAGCCTTTACAGACAGATAGCATCAGCCTCACATTCACAAGCCCTGGTCTTCATGGGGAACTCCAACCACCCCAAACCTGAAGATGCTCAAGTCCATGGGACCTGATAAGATGTAGGCCACGGGGAAATTGGTGGATGAAGTTGCTAAGCCATTATCCATCGTATCTCAGAAGTTGTGGCAGCCTGGTGAAGTTTCTCCTGACTGGAATTACGGAATTATAACCTCATTTGTAAAAAGGGAAACAAGGAAGACCCAGGAGCTACAGGCCAGTCAGTCTCACCTCAGCACCCAGCAACGTAATGGAGCAGATCCTCCTGGAATCTATGCTAAGGCACAAAGACAATAATGGGGTGGTCAGTGACAGCCTGCATGGCTTCACTAAGGGAAAATGATGCCTGACAGATCTGGTGGCCTTCTATGATGGGGCCATGAAATTGGTGCATAAGGGAAGAGCAACTTATACTTGGGCTTGTGCAAGGCATTTGACACTGTCCTGCATAACATCGTGGTCTCTAAACTGGAAACGTGTGGATCTGATAGGTAGACCACTTGCTGGATAAGGAACTGACTGGATGGCTGCACTCAGAGAGTTGTGGTCAATGGCTCAGTGTCCAGCTGGAGACCACTGTTGAGTGGTGTCCCTCAGGGGTCAGCGCTGCGACCAATCCTGTTCAACATCTTTGTTGGTGACATGGGCAGTGGGATTGATGCACTCTCAGCAAGTCAGCTGACAACACCAAGCTGTGCGGTGTAGTCAACATGCTGGAGGGAAGGGCTGACACCCAGAGGGGCCTGGACAGGCTGTAGAGGTGGGCCTGTGCAAACCCCATAAAGTTCAATAAGGTCAAGTGCTAGGTCCTGCACCAGGTTTGGTGCAATCCGAAGCATAGCTACACGCTGGACAAAGAATGAATTGTGAGCAGCCCTGAAGAGAAGGAGATAGAGGTGTTGGTTTATGAGAAGCTCAACATGAGCCAGCAGTGTGCGCCATGAAGATGATCAGAGGCCTGAAGCAGCTCTGCTATGAAGGCAGGCTGAGAGAGTTAGTCTTGCTCAGCTTGGAGAAAAGAGGGCTCCAGGAAGACCCTGGAGCAGCTCCCACTGCCTAAAGGGGGTTACAAAAAACCTGGAGAGGGACTTTTGACAAGGGCATGTTGACAGGACAAGGGAGAATGGCTTTAAACTGGCAGAAGGGAGATCTAGATTAGATATTAGGAAGAAATTCTCTCCTGTGAGGGTGATGAGACACTGGTGCAGGTTACCCAGAGAAGCTGTGGCTGCCCCATCCCTGGCAGTGTTCAAGGCCAGGTTGGACAGGGCTTGGAGCAACCTGCTCTAGTGGAAGGTGTCCCTGCCTGTGGCTGGGGTTGGAACTATATGGTTCCCACACCATTCTTTGATTTTATCATTCTTAGAATTAAAAGATACAGCAAGCAAAGTGATTTAATATGAAAGTAAAAGCTTACCGTGTCTGAACTTCCTTCCAGCAGTATGTTGATTGCTCTGTTGACATCCTCATTACAATCATGTAGTGCCACTATACACTCATCCTGGTTTTTCCCCGTCACCTCCATAAGCTGGTATTAAAAGTCAGACAAGTTAAAATATCTGAATTATCATAATAAGAAAATAAGCATTAGTTAGTACTACCATAGATTCCAAGAAAAAGCTTAGCTACTGTATCAGAGCAAACTAAAATTCTAAATAAAGTTATCTGCCTTTTACAGATCTGCTTGTGATACAGACAAGAGACAGGAAGAAACACAATTTAAATGGTAATCAAGCACATCCATTTTTTCTTATATTCTGCTTACAGCAAATGCTGTCACTCCAGATACAGTAGTATGTGAGAGTAAAGATGTAAAAGACCAGGACAGCACCAGAACTATCCTCTCTCCTTCCTCACCAAGCATGCTCCTCTTTATCCCACCCCACTGTGTGAGAAGAAATATAAGGTAAGCCATGGCAGAGAACAGTTCCATCAGGAAAAAATTCAGGAAGTTAGGTAAGAAAAAGGTTAGTTTTCAGCCAGATCAGCTCTCTCAATTCATTTCAGCATAAACACACACAAAAGGCATAAGCATAAGGCTGCTTAAGGAGACCTAGTACTCAATTACGTTCTAGGGACCTGCAGTGCACATCCTGAGGAGTGTGGGATGTAAATAATCAGTCTTTTCATGGAACATCCAGCAATTTTACCCAAATAAAAAGAATTTACATGAGCTAGAAATACATATATGCAAAATATAAAATACTGGGTATTTCCTTTGCAAAACTCAACTCGTATGCCTCCCACCAGTAGAACTACAGGCACTATTGATGACTGCCCTTTGGTTTCAGGAAGTACAAGACTTCACTTTTGGCACAGCAACAGAACAAATTTATAACAACAACAATGAAAAGCACTTAATAATGCTTCACAGGGGGGTTTACAAAGGGAAAGAAATCACGAAACCTGCTCCTCTGGTGCATTAAAGCATTCAAACTAATTCTTCTCTCCTTCCTGGTGTACTTAGGTTCTTTATGAGCTATGACAGAGGAGGCTTTAAACTAGATGTGTTGGGGGAAGGGGGCATCATTCCATCCCAACACACCCAGTCAGTTGCCAGCACCTATAATAAATGCTCGGAGCAATGTAGAGAGATTCCAGCTGCTCCAGCCAATGAGCCAGCTTCATTTGGGGCTCGGCTCAGATGCCTCTATACAAATGCCTGTAGCATGGGGAACAAACAAGAGGAATTAGAGATGTGTGCTCGTCTACAGGGTTATGATATAACAGGCATCATACAAACATGGTGGGATGGCTCCTATGACTGGAGTGTTGGAATGGAAGGTTACAGACTCTTTAGAAAAGACAGGCTTGGCAGGCAGGGAGGGGGAGTTGCCCTTTATGTTAGGGATAGGCTGGAGAGTATGGAACTCTGTCTGGGGAGAGGTGAGCAGTTAACAGAGAGCTTGTGGGTCAGGTTTAAAGGGAGAACAGCGATGGGAGACGTTACTGTGGGGATCTGTTACAGACCGCCTGATCAAGAGGAATCTGCGGATGAAGCACTCTATAGACAGATAGGAACAGCCTCACACTCACAGGCCCTCATTCGCATGGGTGACTCCAACCACCCTGACATCTGTTGGAATGACGGTACGGCCTGGCACAAGCAATCCAGGAGGTTCCTCAATTGTTTGGAAGGCAACTTCCTTCTTCAAGTAATAGAGGAACCGACAGGGAGAGGTGCCATGCTTGACCTCATGCTCACCAACAGGGAAGGGCTCGTTGGAAATGTGTCACTCCAGGGCAGCCTTGGATGCAGCTATCACGAGATGGTTGAATTTGAGATCCTCAGGACAGTGAGGAGAGCGTGCAGCAAGCTCACTGCCCTAGACTTCAGGACAGCAGACTTTGGCCTCTTCAGGATCCTGCTTAGTAAGGTTCCATGGGATATAGCCCTAGAGGGCAGGGGGGCTCAAGACTCTTGGTTGGTCTTCAAGGATCACCTGCTACAAACTCAGGAGTGTTGCATCCCAACTAGAAGGAAGTGCAGCAGGAGGGCCAGGAGACCTCCTTGGATGGATAAGGAGCTCCTGAGGAAAACTCAAATGAAAAAAGAGTCTTACAGGAAGTGGAAGCAAGGACAGGCGGCCTGGGAAGAGTACAGGGTTATTGTCAGGGAAGCTAGAGACCAGGTTAGGGAAGCTAAGGCCCAGTTAGAATTAAACTTGGCTAGGGATATTAAGGATAACAGGAAGGAATTCTACAGGTACATAGCAAATAAAAAACAGATTAGGGAGAACGTAGGCACCCTCAGGAAGCTCTCGGGTGAACTAGCTACACAGGTTTTGGAGAAGGCTGAGGTTCTGAATGACTACTTTGCCTCGGTCTTCTCTGGCAAAGGCTCTGACCGCACCACCCAAGTCTTGGAAGGCAGACGCAGGGACTGTGAGAATGGAGACCTTGGGCCCACTGTAGGAGAGGAATTGGTTTGAGACCATCTTAAAAATCTGAACGTGCACAAGTCCATGGGACCTGACGAAATCCATCCGCGGGTCCTGAAGGAGCTGGCAAATGAAGCTGCCAAGCCACTGGCCATCATATTTGAAAACTCATGGCAGTCAGGTGAAGTTCCCGACGACTGGAAAAAGGGAAATATAACCCCCATTTTCAAGAAGGGGGAAATGGATGACCCGGGCAATTACAGAGCAGTCAGTCTCACCTCTGTGCCTGGCAAAATCTTGGAGCAGATTCTCCTGGAAGGCATGCTAAGGCACACGAAAATCAACAAGGTGCTTGGTGACAGCCAGCATGGCTTCACTAAGGGGAAATCCTGCCTGACCAATTTGATGGCCTTCTATGATGGGGCTACAGAACTGATGGACAGCAGTAGAGCAGTTGATGTCATCTACCTGGACTTGCGTAAAGTATTCAACACTGTCCCACACGACATCCTCGTCTCTAAATTGGAGAGATATCAACTTGATGAATGGACCACTCTGTGGATAAAGAACTGGATGGGTGGCCGCACACAAAGAGTTGTGGTCAGTGGCTCAATGTCCGGCTGGAGACCAGTTACGAGTGCTGTCCCTCAGGGATTGGTGTTGGGACCGGTCTTGTTCAACACCTTTACCAGTGACATGGACAGTGGGATTGAGTGCACCCTCAGCAAGTTTGCCGATGACACCAAGCTGTGTGGTTCGGTTGTTACGCTGGAGGGAAGGAATGCCATCCAGAGGGACCTTGACACGCTTGTGAGCTGGGCTGATGCCAACCTCATGAAGTTTAACCATGCCAAGTGCAAGGTCCTACACCTGGGTCGGAGCAATCCCAGGCACAGCTACAGGCTGGGCAGAGAAGAGATTCAGAGCAGCCCTGAGGAGAAGGACTTGGGGGTGCTGGTCGATGAGAAAATGAACATGAGCCGGCTTCAGTGTGCGCTTGCAGCCCAGAAAGCCAACCGTATCCTGGGCTGCATCAAAAAGAGCGTGACCAGCAGATTGAAGGAGGTGATCCTGCCCCTCTAATCTGCTCTCATGAGACCTCACTTGGAGTATTGTGTGCAGTTCTGGTGTCCTCAACATAAAAAGGACATGGAACTGTTGGAACAAGTCCAGAGGAGGGCCACGAGAATGATCAGGGGACTGGAGCATCTCCCATAGGAAGATCGGCTGAGAAAGTTGGGGCTGTTCAGCCTGGAGAAGAGAAGGCTGCGTGGAGACCTCACAGCAGCCTTCCAGTATCTGAAGGGGGCCTATAGGGATGCTGGGGAGGGACTCTTCATTAGGGACTGTAGTGGTAGGACAAGGGGTAATGGGTTAAAACTTAAACAGGGGAAGTTTAGATTGGATATAAGGAGGAAATTCTTCCCTGCTTGGGTAGTGAGGCACTGGAATGGGTTGCCCAGGGAGGTTGTAAATGCTCCATCCCTGGCAGTGTTCAAGGCCAGGTTGGACGAGGCCTTGATTGATATGGTTTATAGTGAGGTGTCCCTGCCCATGGCATGGGGTTGGAACTTGATGATCTTAAGGTCCTTTCCAACCCTAACAATTCCATGATTCTATGATGTGTTCACTAAGACAAAATCACCAGCACTCAAAACAGAACACAGACCCAGAGTCTCACTGCCACTGGAGTTAATGTGCTCAGCTATAACTGGGTAATGGAAACTTAAGCATTTCACGCAAAACTCAAGATGATAGAGGAAACTGTGTAAGATTTAATTTTCACAGTGTAATTGTATATTTTAATGCATACTTATCTGGGAGGTAATCATCTTTTTTTTTTTTTTTTTTAGTAACACTTCACCTTCAAGCCATGATTATATTTTTACTTTTCCTAAAAAGCACCCAAAATGCTGGTAAACCCAGTTTACACAGGTGACATTTTTCCCACATGCAAGTACATGTGGACAAGCTGAACGCACTCTATTCTGACAGTCATTAGGCATCAGGCCCATACCGCAGAGATACAGTCTGGAAGGGACACCAGCACAGGTGAGTTCTGGCTTAAAGGCTTGCCTATCAAAGGAAATACACCAACGTAACTATACAGCAGGAGGTGTATAACCACAGTTTCTTGTAAACTGACTTTACAGTGCAATAAAAAGCACCTTTTCATACTTAAACTTATAGCCTTCTGAAAAAGGTTTCATCTAAGTCAGAAACAGATGCTCTAAAATGTAAGCCACCTTTGGAGCACCTTATTGCAGGCTATAAAACCTCTGTACCATAAGAAACATACTTGTTTCACTTTATCTTCAAAATCTGCATCGCTCTTATCGTAGATCATCTGAGCAAGGCGAATCTGTTCTGCTGTTGCCTGAAAAACACAAACATCCAATAAAGTACACAAAAGGTGACAATATATTTTTAAAAGTATCTCCCAGTGTCACTATTTATTTTTCCTTACAATTCTCAAAAAGAACACATGCAACAAGCACAGAGGTGCTATGGGGAAGGGATTAACATCTCCTCTATGCCCACTTTATTGTTAAAAAGTTAGCTGGGACAGTAGCAGTTTCAACATGTTCCAGCATGTCTAAACCACAGTTAAAGGTCACCACATAGACAAACATATAATAAAACAGGGTTTACTACAGAAGCCTATGCTTCGATATTATTACTTTTACTTGCCTTTAGTACCTACCACTCCAGAACTGGAGTTTTATCATAACAGACTGGCAACAGTATTTCCAAATTAACCACATCTCTGATGGTTCCTGCTCATATCACCTTCCTGACTCTCGACAAAGTGCCTGATGTCTTACGAGCACTTAAAAAGACTTGAGTCATGCCTTAAGATTTTGCCCATGAACAGCTACACTTATTTTCTTTATAAGTGAATAGCGGGCTCTGAAAACTGCTACAGGATCTTGCTGTTTAAATAATTGGTGTTTCTGGACCACAAATCCATGCTGGCACTTCCAAAAGCTGAAATAAATAAAATAGATGGATGTGGTAAAGTATCATAAATTCAAATAAGCCATGGCCTCCCCAGAAAGCAAGCAATTCAGTAACACTCATGTCTCAACATACAGGTCACTCTTCACAGTGAGGTGTTGCAGTCTACTTGAACTGCACTTCCATGAAAATACCAAAGATAACCATATACTACAGGATCTTGGACCTAATACGATTTCTGCTGTAAGAGGAGAGGCTTTGACCTCAGGCCAGAGAAGGCCGATCTTGAAGCAAGTCAGCAAATGCAAGTTAATGTGCTGCAGAAGACTTCTTCACTGGGAAGGGGCCCAACTCATCCACTGAAATTCGTGAAGGAAAAGATTCATTCTAGCCAGTTGGCTGAATCTCAGTTTTGTAGTCTCACTTTAGAGGATACCTATGTGAAATTTTGTGCCTCAGGTTCAGACTTAATCAGCCTCAAACTGCTTTGCTTCTGGAGCTGACCACAAACACAAGCTCTAGAGGAGGTCTCCAACTGTAAATGCTGAGAAGAGTCTAAAAATTACTCCACCATACACCACCAGCTGCGTATTTTCTGAGAAGTTACTGCAGCTGTCCCAGTTCCTTGAGGGAAGTGATATTTGCTGTGCTCGGAAGGTGACTGCTCCAAGCCAATTAGCATATGTAACATTCATAACTGAGTTAAGTACTCTGCACTGCTTCACATTTTCAATGCATCATGCTGACAGCATCATACATCACTCCACTCAGTAACACAGAGGAGAGCCTGCTCTGGAATTCCCTACACAAGCCGTGGTCCAGCCTCCACAATAGCTGCCCAGTCAGTGCAGTGCTCTGTGCAAAGGAGATCTTCCTTCATACCTGCTGAAAACCCAGCAGAGAGGAAAAAAACAAGGTCTGATGGTTTCAGGAATTAAGCCTGCTCGTTCTGACTTCAGCTTTCTAAGCCCCATTGCAATTCTTAAGCTAGTGATTTCCCTCAAAGATACCCAGAGTAAAAACACCCTGACAATGTAATTTCTGTAGAGACATCACAGCGTACTTCACCCAAAACAGGAAGATGGTGATTAAATTTTTTCTGTAAACCAACATGTTTGTTTCAAGTCAAAGATAACAGTATCAAACATGTGCCACTATCTTCAGTTTTCCCATGTAAGCAGTGAGCTTAGAAATGAGCAGGTGCACTATCACTAATACTTATGCCAGTGGAATATTACTAGATGGAACAGGCAATTCAGAAGAAAACCAAAACAACAAAACTCCCAACGTTGTGTTTTGACTTCACAAACACCAAATCAGAGTCACAAAAAGTTTTGAGATTCTTTTCCCACAGAGTGGTTCTCGTTTAAGTCACCACTGTTACAAGTAACACTGTGGTACCCTATAAAAGAGTATAGCTAAGTTTCAATCGCAGCTAAGAAAACAGAAGCATCTTAAGACGGCCAAAACTTCAGTCAACCTTACAAGAAGTCTTTGTGGCATAACAGTGCACGAGACTTTTAACTAACAGCATTGAACTACCAGAAAGCAGAAGTATGCAAAACACTAAATTATGTGACAGTAATATGCCCAGATCTGTTTGTGTTTTTTTTTAATGGTATACTTATTATGCAAAAGCAATTCAAAAGAACTTTGATGTAATTTCTCAAATAACCTAAATTATGACCAATATGATATTATGACAATGAAATTTCCATTTGGGAAAGCAATATTACTCTGCATTCAGAAAAATTAATCATTGTTGATTAAACAGTAAAACTCCACACATTTCTGCTGATCTGTAAAGCTTGACTAAGCAGGAAGGTCCATTTGATACTTAAACAACAAAAAAATGTGGTCCTTCACTGACACTCTGTGCAATCTCCCACTGAGTGCATGTCCCATCCTCACAGCTATTCTCTGGACTTCCTTCCATTTGCCAATGTCTTTCTTGTGCCAAAGAACCCTAAACTGGGCAGAGTACTCCACTGCTGTCAACCTTCTTGCTATAATCCTGCAGCCTCACTTGTTAGAAAACAAAACCAAATCCAACTTGATTTGTTGAATCACTTTCTAAATTCACACATTAGCACGAATCACCACTGTGCAAAGCACTGCAACACAAGGAGATGATAAGGGCTTTGAGGTCACGTAATTAATACTGTATGAAACAGAACAGAAGCCCATCCATGATGAAGATCAGTCTAGAAAACGGTAAGACAACTTCCCAGAGGGGCACCTCTAGGCTGATAGACTCTCTGCAAGCAGCAAACTGAGACAGTTCTTGAACTAAGTCCAAATTCGAGGAGTATCTGACAAAAGAGTAATTAGTTGCCAGGAGCAGAGACATTTTGCACTCTGTCACCCAGCAAACACATTGATTTAACTACTCTTCCACTGAGAATCAAGACAATGGGGTAATTTCCATCTCACAGATACTCAAAACAAGTTTCATCTGATAGTGGAAGACCATCTTCTTTTCACTTTGTGAGGACACTGCACAAGAATTTTAGGACTGTGCAACTTGCAGATACCCTGGATCACACCTTAGAACATAGCATGTATGTAACTACACTTTTCTCACCCACTTGAATTGCACTATGATCAGAAATCCCCAAAAATCAGGAGGCTGGTATATGAAGAACTCAGATCTGAGGACACTGAAGTCACAGGACAGAAATCCTGACACAGACATAAGCACAGAATTCCCCACTGATGGGAAATGTTGCTGAAAAACACAAAGCTCCTTTAGAGACAAGAACACAGGAACAACTTATTGCTGTCCTGGATTACTGAGTAATTGAAGAGAAATACAAACATACTCTTCCAAAATAGACCACGATTTTTTTCTTCCTTTTTCTCAGTTTTTACTGACCAAGGGGAAAAAATACATGCTCACTTTCAACTCAAATTAATTATGGGGTATCACATACCTGTACTACTTGTTTCTGTGGTTGTGTTGGCTGTGTGGTTGAAATCTGCGCTTTGTCCCGAGTGCCCCGGGTACGTTCACTGCCCACCGAAGTCATCATATACAGTATATACAAAACAACGTATGTACAAAATAGAAAATCTGAAAGGGAGAAAAAAAATAAAAAAACAAAATGAGCATGAGTTAAGACACAGTACTGATTCAATAACACACAAACTTTTTGTGCTTTTACCACAAACTCTGGAAAGAGACTCCTGAGAAAGCCGCTTTAATAAACTATTATTGGATTTATCACAGTCTTTACTGTAAAGGGGGAAATGCAGCAGATAAAAAGCATTTTTGCCAGCTGATCAGGTTCTCTCTAAATCTGTACTTCCAGACAACATTTAAATCTCACAGCTTTCCCCAGTTATTTAACACACAGACTTTTCTGTCTGCTACTCTGCTGAACTTTTAGCTCCAGCTGTATCACCCCTTAAACTTCTGCAATGCCTGATGTCCTGTTTTGACACCTGGAATTTAACCACTCTCATACTCTCTTAGAACACTAATGCAAAAATCTCATTGACAAACTAGGCAGTTCTTCTCTTCCCCATTATCAAACTGCTCCCCTGCACACATACAAAGGTCATGGCAACACATACTCTACTTTTCAACTTTCATTTATAAGAGAAATTATGATACCTACCTTTAAATCCAGCTAATACCACTATTTTTTCTCCCTCATAGTTACAGAAATGATTTACAAAACTACCTATTACCCTGCTTTAAACCTACCTTTGTTGTATGTCAACAAAGTAACTAAAGAAAACCCAACTCCCACACACAAATGACTGCTACCCAGTTTGAGGCAGATCATTCTCATTCATCTTCTAGCATTAAAATTACTTTGAAACAAAGAATTTATTCTTCCCCCTGTGCTTGTACAGCATGTGACACAGGCTGACTGATGAGCATGGCTTATAGTAGCTATGATAACTGGAAACGGATCTTGGCTACGAGAACTGTCACAGTGAACTGCCTGGCTTCTGTCCCCATGACACTTGGAAGTAAAACCACATACACACCCCTAGGGAATTAATGACAACCTGCAAGCGGTGCACCTGGGCAGAAGATGTGCAAACAAGCAGTAAAGTGCTTTTACTGCAGCCCCAATGTATGAACGTGCCTCAGCACACAACTTGTGAGGGCAGCGGCTTTGGTGCATGCCAGCTATCACTAAGCTCAATGCACAGTAACACTGAAAATGGAACAAACTGCTGTGATCACATGGACATGGATGTGTTCAGTACACAGCTGCTCACTACCACTCACAATTACTTAGCAATTACAGTTGCAATGAGACACGTTAGTTTAAACATTGATTCACAACACTCAGGAGCCTCATATAGAATCAAAAAGACAATTAACCCCATGATCATCTAAATCTCTTCTTCACTTTAGAAATACATTTTCTTCGGGCAAAATTGAACCCTGACACTGAATTTCTTTATGTGCTAGGAGGAAGTATATTTCCATGAACTCTTACATATTTAACAAGAGAAGTCCAGCCTTTACCAGGAACTGACTGTAGCATGAGCTCAACTGGGACACTGTGTTTCCCTAGCTTTATGAATATATTTACCAAAGCAAATCTGTCTCCCAGTCTCTTAAAGTAGTTAACTTCATCATCTTCTAAGTTCGAGAACACAGACCTTCAAAGCACTGTGCCTTACACCCTAAAAGCCAGATAAGAGTCAGAATAGAGGTTATTCAAGCTGGTGACATGTCCTACAGAGAGCAATATATTTAGTAGATGTGGAGATGCTATGAACAGCAAGTTTAACACTTATCATGAACTATCTGCTCACTGCTGTCCACTGATACTTTGGAGTCTTCAACTGAGCCTGCAATAAGAATTACTTTTGCTCATTGTGTTAAAATCTGCTTTATAAGCTTGCTGATTAGACTGCCAGCATCTGAAAACTTAAATTTATATAGATTGAAAATGACCTTTGGGTTGCTGGGGTTTTTGTGGGGTTTTAAATTATCAGTCAGCTTTTCATAATTTGAACCTACCACAGTGAGCAGTAAAAAAAAAACCCTAAACAGACAATATGCCAGAGAACACTAGCCTCTCTGAAAAATAACCTGTTAGTTTCACACATGATTGCCTGCAATTAGCCCACTGTGATTTAAGTCATGTTGAGAAATTATAATTCCACTGTGTCACAATTTCTGAATTAACATCATGCTTGCACAAGTTTTGATACCTAGGAATTCTGACATAGACTTCCATGTTATTTTCTCTAATTTCACCTAAGCTACCCAAAACATTGCAATCCATGTTTTGGACACAACAGTAATACACACACATTAAAACAAAGAGTTTCCCATTTGTCTGTAAAGCAGATGCTGAACTATAGCCTACATTTCTGACAGCCAGGCAACTTACTGAACCTGGAAAAGATTGTCTTTATCCCTCTCCTAACATGTATTGCACAGTGTCTGTGTGCCACAGCTGTTTAAGCCGTATTTGGTTTTCAGGATGAAAAGATGATTTAAGGAAAAAGGCAGGTACACAGATGTTTGAAACACTCTTTGGGGGTGAAGCAGAACAGAAAGATCAGCCTGCTGGTGGGAACAGAGCCAAACAACTTCAGCAGTGTAACCGGGTCTGTAAAGATCCTCATCTTGCAGACTGTACAGCCCATGAGCAGCAGAGTTTTGCAACAGGTCGGAAGCAGAAAACCAGTGAAGGCCAGAGCCTCTTCCTGGCAGCAGTATGGACTTGTATTTGCTTCAGGCAAGTACAGAAACACACCCTCAGTTTGACATTCCCCGTTAAGTCAACATGGACATGTTACAGTCTATTTCAGACACAATCCAGTCTTCTTAAAAGCACAGTTGGCAGCTTGATACGAAGAGAGCTTTCAAAATAAAGCTATTTTATATGCCCTTAGCTGGCTCCCACTACCTAAAGGCAGTGTCCGGACAGTGCAACCAGCCCAGCCCCAACAGCATGCACAAGGAGCAGAGAAGGGCTCTGCTGCACCACCAACAGTGCACTAACCAGGGACACACTGAACCTCTCTCGCACAGGCATGCCCTCACCAATGGGCTGAGGTTTCACACCCTACCACACCTACTCCTTAGAGCACCAAAGCAGCAGGCAGAAGGGAGGCAGATAGCCGCTGCCTACAAATTACCAGAGACTAGAATTGTGACCATTAAGTGGGATATTGTTAATTTGACAAGATGTGGCTGAACAAGAACACTTCCTTGCTTGCAAAGCAGCTTCTCACTCTCCCCCAACTCCTCATATTAAAGTCTGTTTGGCAGGCTGTTGTCATAGCAATTAGTAGGATATTATAAACTGATGAACTAAATTTTAACTGCAGACCAAATGAGTAAAGAAGATCTGAGATTGGAAGACAACTCAATTAAAATCTGTTTAATAAATATTAAACAAAAAAATATTCAGACAAGCAGATGTTTCAGCTTCCATGTCAGGGTCTGGCTCGGTGCAAAAATCCCTCATCGGCAGTTAATACTTGACCTTGCAGACACATTGCAACTCTAGCAAGCAGACAAAACAGCTGTATGCTTTAGAAATAGATACCCCTTAAATAAAACAGACCCTTAGAGAACTAGCAAAAAAGGAGGAGAAAGCATTAGACACTTCCTAAAACTGTCGTGTAAAGAATGTGGTCACACTTTGACTCATCACATTAAAGAAGAGAAGCACAAGACCACTCTAAACCATTTTTTCATAGATGCATTCTTGTACCTCAAGAGGAAGGTTGTCTTCTACTTAAAAAACATACATAAAAACCAAAGCCTAAACAAACCAAAAACATTATAAAAAACCCTTTGATCAGTAGTTTAATTGTTCACTCCAAGTATGTTTAGCTTCTCAAGCTCTAAGGAATTTGAATTTCAGCACTTTCTCATAAAGCAAGTAACTAGACTTAAAAATGGAAAACAACAGATGGGTTTAAGTGGAAAATAACCTCAAATCTCAAGGTTTTGTTTGTTTTAGTGTTTCTGTCTGTACAAGTTTAGCCCAAGCACCCACACTACAAGAGAAGATAAGGGATTGTAGAATAAGCCATCACCAGACTGGGGAATGATAACAATTATTCTAGTTTCCAAAAGCAGTACTGAAGTATTGGTATCTCAACATCCAGCTTTTCTAAAGAGACCAAATCCCACTCCCTTCATACTGCAAGACTTACCCAATATATTTAGTTGGGTTTTTGTTTGATTTTAGAAAGAAACAAAAGCAAAGGATCAAAGAGTAACTGAATGCATATTATCACAAGAAGCAGGTTTTTAGAGCTATAATGCTTTCTTTGATCTTTTGTTCCAACATTCCTTCAGCAAGAAATCTAGTCCTTTTAGACTGAAAGAAGTCAGCAAAGCTAGAAAGACAGAGAATACAAATTGACAGGGGCAAGTGCCACAAGATACAGCAAACCTATTGAACTTCCAGGGAGAGCCCATGCACTGCAATACCACCTGACTTTCCAGCACCCTTCTGAAGTTAGTCACTAGAAATGTCTCTAGATGGAGAAAATACTTGCAGTTTTGAATTCTTCCTGAGGCAGTCACAAGAAAGTCATTTTCTTGACTCTCTGGACAAGGAGCTGTGATAAAGACAACTGTGAAGAAATCTTTATGAGCACGTTAACAGTGTGATTGCATTTTATAATTCTAAACACAAAGCCACTCAGTCAAGGATTTCTCACAATGACAGGCCCGGGAAAAGGCTGCAGCACACTGCCTCATGATGGCATGACTGCTGTATTCGTACAATGAGTCTGTATTTTATTTCTAAGGCAGTAGCAAGACACGATGTTGTAAGTCCAGCCGGTAACTCAGAACCACACAGACACTCTCTCACTCCACCCCCTTCTTCCTGCCCCGGGTTCCCAGAGGGATGGGGAGGAGAATCAAGAGAATATAACTTCCATGATTTAAGAGCAGTCCAGTAACTAAGGTGTAGCACAAATCACTACTGCTACCACCAATAAGAATAATGATAAGGGAAATAACAAGGGAAGAGAATACAACTGCTCAGCACACACCAACCTATACCCAGCATGACCCGAGTGGTGATCTAGCCCTTCCAGGTAACTGCCCCTGGTTTATATACCAGG